TAAAAGTTTGTGAGGTTAGCAAAAACTTAGAAGTTTGAAATTTTGAGACTTAGGGTTATTTAACCTTTCCTTTCATTTAAAAATATTTTCAAGGTCACACCACTTCCGGTTACACCGGAAGTCGCCATTAACTTCCTTATTTTAAATGGAACACCCTGTATATTATTTTATTTTTGGATTTCTAAGAAAATTTTATGATGAGTTTCATTAGGTTTCCCTATACCTATTTTCAACTGTTTATCAGATATCTTGATTTATTTGAAAATGTTTACAGATTTACCCCTATTTTTAACAGTCGGTCTTTTACTCATTTTGAATTGGTGATAAACGCTTCTGCGGTAAACCGAAGCAGAGGACTAATACTTTCGAAATCCATATTGACAATTAATTTATTGCATACAGGGTGTCCAAAATTTGATAACTGATTACATTATTTTCAAACTCAAAATAGTTCATTTTTTCAAATGAGACACCCTGTATATTTTTCGATAGTAGATAACTTTCCCTATACCCATTTTCAACGGTTTTCTTGTTAATTCGTATTTTTTACTTTAATTCAATTTTTGGCAGAATCGACAATATCGTTTGTGTTTTTTAAAAGAAAATAATTATGTTAAAGTAAAGAAATTGTATGTAATTAGAACATACGAACAAAACAGGAACAAAACAAAAGTGAAAACGTATAAAATATAACATAACAAAACAAACGTATTTTCAACAGTAACGGTGAGGCATTTATTTTATTTTAGTTTTCTATGAGCTTGCAGCTCTGGTCACCACTGTTGTATTTTTTATTTAATTCAACTCACTTTTACAATTTTTATGCTTTAGAAGGCTTTGTTTTTTAAAACTATCAATTTTAAGAATTACACTGTCGTTAATTTAATAAAAAAAGCAGCCGGGAGAACTGAAATATTGATAGATATAAACGATGTTGTTACAAAACCACGTAAGTATATAATTACCAATTACTACATCGGTGCTCGGTGAATGTCAAATACGTCAAACTCTAACAATGGACGAGCAACTGATAAAACTCCCAAAATTGCAATTGATCTTTACAGGCTTGCGGAAATTTAACAAGTCGAGTTCCTTTATGTTTTTCTACAATATCAAGAAATCAAGAAAGTTTTCATCATCTACAAGAAGAGAATCTTAGATTTACTTAACAAACATAGTCTATGTATGTGCCCTTGAGTCTATTATGCTGTACTTTAGGGTCGCTCTCAGGGGCGGGTAAAGCGGGTGTGTGGTCGAATTTCAATGCAGGAAACGAGCGTTCAGCAGAACAGTTAGTAATAAAAGTACATGTGAAGATTCTTAATGCTTGAAAGTATTTGGAAACAGGTCTTAAGCGTTTTTTTTTCATAAATTACTTTAAGAAGCTCTCTAGCAGATGGTTTTGCTGACTTATTGCATTTTATAAATTCACGAAAATGTATTAATTCATTAGGCATTGACTCATCTAAATCATTTATATAACAGGTTATTAAATGTCTGGACTTATCGGTAATGTCGTCAATACTTAAAGTAGATAAATCACTAAAGAAACCAAATTTGGTTGAAAAGTCATTATAGGCACTTTTCCTGTAGGAAATTTTAAGGATTAATTTATCAATAATAACATTAAATACATTTATCCTAAAATCGTCCCTAGCGTTAAATAGAGTTTCATTATCACTGGTTTCATCAAATTGTCGTTTCCGTTTCACTTTTCTCTTATCTGCCGCATATTCTTTCTCATCGAACAATTCTATGGCGCTTCTTTCATATTCCTCAAATGATTTAGTATTATCTAAATTTCTAATTTCAGAAAAAAAAATTCGATGAGCTATATAAATCTGCAGCAAGTTGTAGATCAATATTCACCATTTCAAGCTTTTTATTGACCGCATCTAATCTATTTAAAACGTCTGTCCAAAATACCGCCATAAAACCCATTTCAAGGCTTTTGAATTGTTTAAGGAGACTAGAAGCATCTAATCGGGTTTTAGGCTTTTCGGTATCGTCTTCAGAAATTGACTCCAACGTGGATTTTATTTCATTGGAAGACAAAGATTGTGATTGGCGAGCTTCATTTCGTGCAGACCGACGTGTTTTTGATAAAAAAAATTTTAATATTTTTGAATTTATTTTTTTATATTCGAGGTATTTATGTACTTATTAACTGGATGCATGGCACAATGCAGTAAAAAATAACCCAAGCAAATTATATATTTAAACAATAATAATAGTTAAGTAAATAAATATGTAATCAGCTAAGTCTATATTCGAAATATTTTATGAACAAATAAAAGTTAAAAGTTAAAAAAAAAGATAAATATTTTGGTATGCTCAAAATTTGCCGCCCCAGGCCCGAGCCTAATTGGCCTAGGCCTAAGGCCTAAGTCCGGCCCTGCGGACTAATGAAATGGACTCGACTGCTTGGGCCAATTTTTGGTTTAATTTAATTTAAATTTCTCATTTTTTTTGGCAATACTTAGTATATTTGCGGCATTTGTCAGCAATTATATTATGTTAAGCGTAGTTTATAATACCATTTAGGTATGACTCAAATTATTTTCAGACTGTATTATAGTATCAAATATATTTATGGACTTATTTAATTAAAAAAATAATACTTATTTTATTCGATATATTTCTGTTCGTATTAGATTTTAGAAAAATAAAAAATAATCATTTTGTCATTAATATCTAATATCATTATTATTACCTTTACATATCTCTAATTCCTTTATTATATCTATGTTATGGATCTATTAGAAAATATTAATTTAAAAATTGATACTGTGTTATTTGAAAGAATTTTTATTACAACGAAAACAGTATAGACCAAAATATTTATAAATAATAAATTGTGTTAACTTCACTTACTATAAACTCTAATATATTATCGATATAGTTACTATATCGATATTTAGAAGGTTTAACAGGCATTTTTATTTAATAACACTAAATAAAAAAGTTTTAAAGTTCTCCACATGTCTACAGGGTGATCCACTTTAACAAAAAATATGGCAGCGGAGAACTCTAGCCTATAATTTAAAATTTTATTGCAATATTTGCAATGCCGTGCAGTTCAAATCAAAGCAGAGTAGGTAATGGTTACAGGAGTTATACAGGGATGTGTCTTAGCGCCTCTCCTATTCAACATATTCATGGCAGCACTCTCTATATTATAGTGGAGAGCAAATTGCAGGAAAGAGGAATGGGCATGAGATACAGATACGACGGCGGTTTGTTCAACATAAAACTCAAGACAAAAACACGTATAAAGTTCTGTGATACTTCAATTCGCTGATGACTGCGCTCTAGGAATGTTACAGAAATTACAAAAAATGCTGAACATATATACCTGGTCATTCGAGGCTTTGGGTCTTAAGCTAAACACCAATAAACTAAAATCATGTGAATTCCCAAAGAAAATCATAACGATGCTATAGAACTGTTGGAATAATGCAAAACAGAACTATATCTCGCAAAGCCATTTTTACTGTAAAAAATGTGCTAAAACTATGGAGGCTAAAATAAGCCCTCCATAGCTAAAACTATTAGTCAGTGTGTCACTCATTCGCTGTAGAAAAAACTGCGCTCTAAAGCTGCGCGTGTGTGCGCCAGGCAGTAGTACAGGTTAAACTGCGCAAACCGTCATGCACATTTAGGTTGTGCTAAAGAACTGAGCGTCTGTGGGGATGAGAGGATAAATAAAATAATTTGAAAATTATGATATGAGTTTTATTTATAATAATATATTTTTTTAATTTAGGCATAGATCAAGTGTATATTACATAAATCATCGTAAATACAGACTTAATAGTAGATACATAAGACCATAAGACGTGTTTAGAGCATTTAAGTACATCGATAAATTACATAGAAAAAAAATCGAATTTTATATTATCGAAACAGCTTGCTGTAGAAGAAGTAAAAATAGCACCGATTTCGAAAAACAACATTTACTAAAAACTATGCAAGATTTTTTATACCTATTCGACAATATTCGACGTTTATAAGATTTTCCTTCTTTTTTACAAGAAAGCAAGCTCTGTTGTAATCGGCCTTCTACAAAATTATCTCCAGGGATTTTAAAGCCTCTTTTTACATACATTAAATGTTTAGATTTACACGTAAATGTTAAATACCCTGACTTAAAAGAGTAGCAAAGTAAAAAAAAAAGATTTTATCAAATGGCAAATAGACCAAAAGTCTTGCATAGTTTATTTATTATTAACATATCCTATCTACTTGTCACATAGCCTTAAAACAGTGATAATAACGACAATAATACATAGATAGTAAATATAGATAGTTATTAATATAACATTAACTAGACTTAAGGCCATTTTTTGTAAAATTTTAGTGAAAATAAAAACAAGTCTACTATTAGTCTCCAAAATTTTGAATTTAAATCAAATATTAAACAATAGATATCTTAACTTTTCTTTAATGTCAAAATTTTCAATTGTCAAAATCGTTAAATTAAAATCAGAATATATTTATTTAAAATACCGCACGATACAAAAAAAATGACGTCCAGTTGGCTTGGAAATGATGATCGATGAAAGCCATCTTCATTTCCATCTCTGACGCCGTTTTTTTTAATCGTATGATAATGGTACCCGTATAATTGAAAAAAAAGCCGTCCAGTTGGCTGGGAAATGACGATCGATGATATTTTCCATACAAAATGACAGCAATTTTTTTTCATAGCCATCGCCGACGCCGGTTTTTTTTTCGATCATACGGTAGTATTAAACAAAGAATTATAAAACTGCTGTTATACAGGGTGAGTCTTAAATAAGCCCAAATATTTTTAGAGGTAATATATTTCGACCCCAGAAACACGATTATGAGGGTTTTTTTCGAAAAAAAAATAAAAATTTGGAATTTTTGAAAAATTTTCTGGAATTTTTTTGGGTTTAAAAAAAACATAATTTCTTGATAATATGGCAACATAGGTAGTAGAGTAAGTTTACAAGAAAGAAAATCCAGAAAAAGATCCAGTGGTTCTCAAAATTTAAGCAAAAAGTGTTTTTTTTTGGAAATTTTCAAAGTAAAATATCTTGGTTATTTTGAAAACGTAAAAGAAGAGCTTTTGAAAGACTTATTTGAAAAACGGTAAAGAGAAAATATGTTTCTTTTATGGAGACCTTGAAAATATTTGAAGTTTTTTAAGACTCACCCTGTACAACAAACAAATTTATCAAAACTATGGTCTACTGTTTCTCTCATTTATCCAATACTAAGAAATTGTTAAACAACGAATTGTAGAAGTCCTATTTTTTTTAAATGAGCATAGATATTTTTTGCTCTTATCTATAATCTGCCAAAATTTGGCAACTTTATAATAAATGCGATATAATATATTCTAAAAACTGGCAACCTTATTGAATGTTTGTACCTATATCATCTTAAACTTTACGACTACGTTTAGCTTGAAAAAATTAAAAATAATACCGATATAAAAGAATTATATTATTGATTACGGTGGACGTCATATTTTTCTATGTATAAATGTATAAATTTCACATACAAAATTCAAGAAATGCTGATAATTTTTGTAATCAACAGTACGCTAGATTATCTGCATAAAATATATTATGAAAGTTTTTTAAAATCTGAATAATGTACTGCAATGCAAAACTTCTACTTTTATAGAAAATTTGTCTTTGTTACTAGGTTTCTTACAATTTTTCAATATGTAGGCGGTTTTTTATTCTTAAAACATCTAATTAGAACCATCAAATAGAATGTTACAGAAAAAAATTATATCATTTAAAAATTACACATTATCTACTGTATTCCCTCGACAAATGCCGTATCGTCTAGGGTATGCAACCAGTTAAATATCATCATATTTCTCTCATATTTGGATAACGGTTTGCCCCGCTCTCTTTCTACATCCCTAATGGTCAGGGGTAGATTTTTTCCAGCCCTAGATTTGGCAGCCCTCAACATGGCGGCATTGGTACTGCTAGAAGTGGTGGGGCTCTTGCTCGGAGTTGGACTGGAGCCTGGTACAACTAATCGGGTTGGTCCTGAAAATAAAATCTTTTTTGAACAACGTATCAAGAATTTTTGGTACTTTATTCACGTATAGTACACACAATGTGAGATAAAATGTATTAATTTATATACATCCATATCTATCCATAATATATATCGTGAAAAGACACATATCGCTGTATAATTAGTATCTATAGTTGATATCAATTAAACCTTTAGTTATGTAATCGAGAGCGCGACTTTTAAATTCATTGTTGCCAACAATGGACATATTCGGCGTCGAGCTGGCTAACTGGTATTTCAATTTGGGATGGCTGGCTAACTGGTATTTCAACTGGGATTCAGGTGGTAGCTCCTCTGTAAAAAATGTCAAGTTGCCCATTTTTTATTTATTTTTTTACGTTGTTATTCGTGTTGATGCTTTAGTTTTGTATTACGAGTGTTTGATGGTTTAAATAAATTGTGTTGTGATACTTTAAGCTTAAACATTTTTACTAGCAGACCTTGCAGTCGAACATTGTTCTTTTTAGAACCTCTTTTAGTGCGAAGTGTACAAGATAGCTTAATAGCCGTTGTAAAAAACTCATCGCAACCTTATTAGAATATTTTGAACGGGAAAGCGATAGTAATGGCCTTTTATGTCCCTTAAGAGCTGTTAAGGAGTTGAGTTTGGTACATGTAAATAATAACTGTTTATATATTTATAATTCATTTATTTTTGTTTCTTAAAATATTTTGATTAAAAGAAAATATATAAAATGGGCAACGCTGTGCCGGTCAAGCTTAATATCACGTGACTAACAGTTAATTTGGTAACGCTTATACAGGGTGTCTCAGATTTTAATCGGGAAAATTTAACAGACGATAGAACTTGCAAAAATAAAACAAAAAGTTCATATCAACTTGTAAGATTTAAAGCTTCCTTTTCGAAATACAGGGTGTTAAAGTTACTTAAAAAAGGAAAAAAATTAAGATATCTGAAAAACTATTTACTCGATTTTGATATAACTTGACCCCTTTATAATACTTACTATGGGACTTAATTTGATGTAATTAGATTTAAGTTTAATGGCCAGGGGCGGCGGTGGGTCATCACTGTTAAATTATTTTAAAGTAAAAAATAGGCACGCCACTGCTTTTTTAGAAGTTTAATATTATTTTTGGATTTAGTAATTAAAAATATTATTTTTTTGTCTCCTGACTTTTTTGTCTATCTTATCTTTTTGTTAATCATTACTATTTAATTTATTGTCCAGGGTGGAGTGAATACATGAATTTATTTTTTTTTCGCAAGAAGTAAGCAAGATCAAAATCGATTAAATAGTTTTTCAAATATTTCAATATCTTATTTTTTTTCTTTTTTAAGCAACTTTAATACCCTGTATCTCGAAAAGGAAGCTTTAAATCTTACAAGTTAATATGAACTTTTTGTTTTATTTTTGCAAGTTCTATCGTCTATTAAATTTTCCTGATTAAAATCTGAGACACCCTGTATAGATACAGCTTGATTACTTTGTTTTTCAAATTATATATTTGCCTTATTAGAAGGACATATACGTATATTTATTAAAACATGTAAGTGTAAAATTATTTACACATTTACTTACATGTATAATTTAGTTTAATTATTAAATAAATGCATCTCATAGATTGATAAATTGTGCAAAATAATATTGGGCTTTATCATTAAGAGTTGATCAAACACTTGCTAAGTCAGTAGGCTCATAGGTTATACGAAAAAGCAGATTTTTTAGATTAATATGCATATCGTAAGCTTAATAAGCTGTTAGAATAATTGTTAGACATATTGAAATTATAGGACTGTAGGGGCGATCAGGGGCGGATCGTGAATTTGTGGGGCCCTGGGCTGAAACTACTTAGAGGCCTACATAAGTACTCAACTAATAGCCATATCAAAAAACTGTTTCTATAATGATATATTATTATTCTTCTTCTTTACGTGCCGTCTCTTTCGTGGAGGTTGGCGATCACATTGGCAAAATCTTCACGATTCTCGGCTTTCCTTATGAGTTCTTCAAAAGTTAGGTGAGTCCAGTTTCTGATGTTTCTCAACCAAGATAGTTTCTTCCTGCCGAGACCTCTCTTTCCTTCAATCTTACCCTTTACTATCAATTGTAAGACGTGGTATTTTTCATTTCTCAATATATGCCCTAAGTATGATGTTTTTTTTATTTTTATTATATTGAGCAATTCTCTTTCTCTGCCTATTCTGCTGTAGACTTCGGTATTTGTGATATGTGGATTTAAGTAACATAAATGTTACTTAGATCTACGCAAGTATTAGTTGTACAAAAGGCGACCTTATTGTTGTGGTAGCAATCTCTTCCAGGCAAACTTTGGATGAGAGAGAAACCGAAATAGTGATATTTTATAAGAATATAAAAAAAACAATAAAACAATTTTATTTATTTACTTATTATGAATTAGTAAAAGAAATTGATAGGTTGTAGTCACAGAAATTGACAGTTATTTGGTCATCACATTCCAAGTCTTTTGTTAGATCACAATTTATGGAAAGAAGTGAAAAATTATTTAGTCGATGGTTCGACATTGTTGTCCTATATTTATTTTCTACATAGGACATCTTGGAGAAGGAGCGTTCTGCTTCACAGCTAGTGATTGGCAATGTTAAAAAAATCTTTAAAATGGTATAGCAGTTAGGGAACACGTTAATAAGTTTATTTTCATACATGAGCATAAAAATGTGACTGCAAGAGGTGTAAGACTCAGACATAGATTGGAGTAAGTACGAATTTAATTGAATGCACTCATTCACTAAATGCTCGTCTACGTCATCGGGATAGTAATCAATAATATGACGTGCAATTTCCAAATCTATGTTTTCGATATTTTTGTCTTGCAAATCCATTAAAAATTTGAATTTTTTGCTATATATCTCATAGACTTGTCTCCTTTTATTTAAATCCATAATAAGCTTATCCAACGCAACTTTTAACGTGTCTCTATAAATCTTTCTGCGCCGTATACTGAGAATTCACCTGTAGACTTATCTGAAAATTTTGGGATAATGCGTAATTTTTTAGCTTTTTCGTCGTATTCCTGTAACATTTGATCTGATTGATATCCTATGTTGCCCACAAAGTCTTTTAAAGAAACAATTAACTTGTTGCCTTCACAAATGTCTAAACCAGGGCTCTGTATTTTTTTATTAACTAAATGAAATCTCTCCAAAACTTCTTCCCAAAAGATAATCAAAATTGCAGTCTCGAGTTTCGCAATTTTATCGAATAAATTTCGTGCCTCTTTCCGGAAATCAACTTTCTCAACCTCATTTTCGCTGAAACTTTTGAAAATTTTCATAATGTCATCATAATTATTTTTTAAGGCTTTGACAGCATCATAGTGGCAAGGCCATCTTGTCTGGCTTAAACTTTTTAACCTGAATTTTAATTTTATTTCACGATTCAACAGTTCCCACCTATGGGTCGATTGTTTTTCGCGGGGCCTGGGGGCCCCTTGTAACCTCGGAGCCCTGGGCTGCAGCCCAAACAGCCCGTAAGTAGATCCGGCCCTGCTCCCGATATTAATTCACTCGCGATTTCATCGCTCGTCATTAATCTTTTCGGTCGACGATGATTTAATGGTTATTTTTTATACAAGGCGATAAAATACCATTTTATCGCCTTGTATAAAAAATAAGCATTAAAAGTCTTTTGTTAAACATAATATAATGTAACCATTTTTTTGTAAAATAACTTATTATTTTTTCAGTGTAGATCTTTAAATTTTACCTGGATTAATAATATGTTGCGTTGCTGGATCTAAGCTAGCTTGAGCTGTACTAGGTGTTATTTCAAGCCTGTCCAAGTTGAATTCGCTCTGCGATAGTCGCTCCAAAGCTTTGTACGTGGTTAATAGTCTTCTCCTAATGTAATTCTGTCTCACCTGTAATAAATTTTAGTTTAAAATTTCTCTGTCATAATAAAGTTGGCGTAAACGTTACTTTTTTGTTTACTGAGCGTATGAAATCAGCGGCTGTAAATGCTGGCGGAGGAGGAGTACTGGCCAGAGGTGGTGCTGTGGTACTGGACTGACCTCCGTGCGGTGAGGGCAATTGGGAGGTGGATGCAATGTCTCCTACCGCTACCCATGTAGAACATGACCTAGGATTTTCGAAAACTTTTTTAGACCACTTTTTAAAAAAAGTTAGTATTATTGAAATAAAGTTAGTTATACAGGGTGGCCCGAACTGTATCCCGGAAACTTCGGCAGCATATTCTGCAGATAAAAATAAGTAAAAAAGTTCGTATAAATGTATGTCTTAAAATGCTTAGTTTTGGAGATACTGGGTGTAGAAGTTTCATTTTTATTTCGATGTTTTCTAAATAATTTCTGAAGTAACGTCAATATTTGGATGAAAATTGGTATCTGGGTGTTTCTTGACTTGAGAAATTTGATTTTGATGTCAATATGCCTTCTACTTGTAGAGGGCGCCACCTAAATATATTTTAACTGGTTCGACGTCTAATAATTTTTTGTCCATACCTGTATAAAACTACTGAGTAAAAAAATTAACAATTAAGACGTTTTTTATGTAAAAAAGGTTTCTTGGTAAAAATCGCTACGAGTAATGGTTCTGAAGATATTTGGAATCGAAATAATCACTACATATGGACATTGTGTTTTTCCCTGATCCAGAGTTTTCGACTCAGCCTTGAATGAGTACTTGGGATTCACAATTCTAATAGGCTGTTGAAGCGTAGTGCTAGCCACATTACCTTCCTTGTATACCGAACGGCTCTAGCATGGCAAGCTGTACCTTGCTACTCCCAAGGCATTAAACGCTATATACAGGAGCGATTATTATTATATATATCCTACCTGGATGTATGATCCAGTCTGGCATGCTCCAGAAGAAATCCGCTCCGTTGTAGGGAGTTTAAAGCTAGTTCGGATACGGCGTTTCGGAGGCCCTGCAAAGTGGGACCTTCCTCAGGGGACGGTAGCTGGCTGATGTCGCTGGTGCTGAAACTCTTCTGAAGACCGACGGCCGAAGACAGGGCGGCGCAACTTCGGATCAGTTCGGTTTCTTCCTCGAACCAGAGGATTTCGGGAATATCTGCAGGCCTGTAATAAGGAAGAGTGATTCTCTTGGTCTCTCTTGGTTATTTATTTTAGAGTTTATTAGATATTATTCCCAAGAGAGACTGTAAACGAATAGAGTGGATACGACAAAAGACCCAGGTAATATATGTCATCCACAGAATCAAATCCCTCAATAGCCATGACACCTGGGAAGAAGGACAGACAACAGATGGACCATAAAAATTACAGCATGGTACCCACGAGGAATCAAGTGACCTAGAGGAAGACCAAACCTGAGATGGGACCATGATATTAGAAAATTATACTAGGGATAATTATAAGGGATAACTATAAATCATAATAAAATAGCCAACAATAGACAACAATGGGCCCACCTACAAAGAAAGTATCTAAATATGTGAGGGAGTGCTATACATATACCATAATTGGAAATGGTTGAATAAGCTGAAAATGATGATCATGATGACTGAGTGATTCAGTGGTTTGAAAATCCCTAACACATGAAAAAGCATACTAATTATAATTCCATCTTTGGGAGTCCTCCAATGGTCTCGAAATGGACACTCGAAAGTTCCTCAGAACTTACGACCGAAAAAAATCAAAGATTTTCCTTGATTTAAGTAAAAACAAAATTGATTGTCACGGTTTCTAACAGGACACTGTCTCCTCAACAAACACTTCAATAGATTGAAGCTGAGAAACAACGGCGAATGCAGATTCTGTGGGAAAAATGGGGAAACACCAGACATCTTATCACAGAGTGCGCCGAGACGACGCCGACGACCGTTTGTGCCATGAATTTTGGTACGGCTGATGTGGAGCCGTCTTAGTTAAAGCCCTGAGGCTGTATGATGAGTTATAACTTTTTATAACTCAAAAAGAGGGGAACTTTTTATAACTCAAAAAGGGGAACACACAATAGATCTGTAACATTCTCCTAAACATTCTACATTTTACAATTCCATCTTTAAAATTATTGTCTTGTATTGATGTGAAACATGGCAGTTTACTAATAGAATGGAACAACGACTTTTAGTACCTGAGGACTTCTGACGAAGACCTACGGGGAAATCAAGAATGCAAAGAGTACTGATCAAAAAAAAAAAGAGAAAGCATTGCATGTCCAATTATAGATGAAACAGAGAGGCCACAACTGGTGTGGTATAGGCATGTTGAAGAAACGAGTGAAGACCGAATACCTAAGAAAATTCTAAAATGGACACCATCCGAAAGAAGAAATAAGGGAAGGCCAAAAAGCAACATGGATTGGAGGAATACAAAAACTATGTAGATCTTCATCATTAGGGCAATAGAAAAGGCTAACAAGGTCAGGAGCAGGCGTATAAAATAATCCGGCTTTTTGCAGAAAGACTAGGCATATTATAAAACGCCGGCAAGGAATTTTACAAAAATCCTATCTATTTTCAGTCACTTTGCAAAAAGCCTATAATTAGAATTAGGCATATTAAACAATGACGATATTTCCTGTACACTTCTGCAAAAAGATTGCCTGTTTTCAGTCATTTTACAAAATGCCAAATCGAGAATCGAAGCCAGGCAGATTAAAAAATGATCAAAGTTTAGTTAGCTATGAGTATAATCATATTGAATAATTTACGCTTTAAAAATACCCCATATTTTCCTATACTAAAAGAATAATTTATGCCAAAATTTTATTCTCTTTAGACCAATATAACTTAAGATATATTAAAACCTTAATATTAATATCTTATTTAATAATTATTAAATAACTCTAATTCGATTCTGTGTACAGGGCTGCTTCTTTGTGGAACTTTGCTTTCTCTTAGAATAAGATGGATAAGACCATATTCTATTTAACAGAATGGTTTCCTGGATGTGTTTCATTATTTCCTAATTTTGAAAGAGAAGTTCAAGAAATGTCGTTAGATAAATTTAGGTTAGTTATACCAATTATACCAATCCCGCGTAAAATGTTTTGTGCAATCTGACTAGTCTTCATTAGGCATTTTGCAAAGCAACTGAAAACAGATCGGCTCTATGTAAAATATCCTTCTTTTGTTAAAAACGCCGGTGTTTTATAATAAGCCTAGTCTTTTTGCAAAATAGCGAGTTATTCGATATGCATTCGACATATATATCAACAAGATTACCTGTTTTGATTCCTGCTCTCCGGATTCGGACTGTGCCCCCTATCGCACTTGGAGAAGCTCAGCAACCGTTTCCCCCCTGTTGTCGAGTCCACCGAACTGACGGAGAACAGCGACAGATCGGTGGTGACGCTCTCGTGACTGGGGGATCTCAGGATGCGACATGCCACACTCAAGACCGGCGTTTGGGGGGCTATGAGGCTGGGCATCTCCCCCGAGCTGCCGCTCGCCGGCACGTCCGCGGATGACATTTCCTCCTTCGAGAACTCCACCATGAGACGGTCGAGGGGGTTAGTTAGTTTGCCGATGCCAAAACATAACTGTATATGCTGAAAAATAAGTTACTATTAAATTACGGAATTCTAGCGAATAAATAATGCATTTGTTGTATTGCTGCAAAACATATACAGGGTGGTCAGAACTTTATTTCGGAAACTTCGTGAGCATATTTTCCAGATAAAAATAAGTAAAAAAGTCCGTATAAATGTGTGCCCTAAAATGCTTTAGTATCGGAGATACAGGGTGTAGAAGTTTTATTTTTATTTCGATTTTTTCCAATAAGTAACGTCAATATTTGGTTGAAAATTGGGACTGGGCAATGTCATCTCTAATAGAACAGCCTTCGGGCGAGATTTATGACGTCATGCTAGTTAGATACTACGGATTAATAAATATGTTGTAGAATACATGGTAAACATAATTATTCCTCAGATTTTTGGTTTGTATTTTAAAAATGATATAGTTTACATGAAATATACATAATATACAGTTAATAACGACAACATATATACTTATTTATATTAATAAATACTTTGGCAAATAAACTATAAACCATACAAATGCAGCAAATGTTTTACAATATACAAATAATGTATTACATAAGATACTGGGTAAAATGTAAATATATTTTAAATTTTGGGTTTGAAAATCGATCTAATTTAACAAAAAACATTCAATATCTACTAATAGTGATGTATTATTATTTGCATTTTCAAAATTTATATGTATATTTTGCAAGTATCAATGTTCGAAAAATTATATTTACAAATAATACAATATCATCTAAAAAAACGCGTCAGCGATGGCTATGAAATGAAGATCGCTGGAATTTTATATGTAAAATTATTATAAAATTTTTGATTTTCTTGGGATTTTCAGGTTCGGGAAAAACGTTGATTTAAGTTTTCATTTGGGTTTTCATTATTTTTATTTGGTTTAAAAAAAGTTTCGGCTAACTATAGCCTTCATCAGTGTTGTGTCATATGAAAAAAATATGAATATGCTGCAGAAGTTTCAGGAATACAGTTTGGACCACCCTGTATTAAGGGTATATTAGTACGAGCCCTAACAACTATATGTAGGGATAAGGTCATATTTTGGAATTATTGCCCTGGTTTTTCAAAATGACAATATATGTTTAATTTTTTAAATATAAACATAGCCATATATCCTAAACAACTTGACAATATTTTTATGAATTTGTAAATCAATCCATATTTACAGTAGCGGATTTTGTTGATAAAGGGACAAATTTGCTGACAACTAAATGTAGGGACAAGTATTTTTAAATAATTAATATCATCATAGGCGGCCTTGCTATAAATGTCGCAAACTGTTTACTTTAGCATTGACAGCTTGTAAGTGACTCGATACTTTGAGTAGTGAGATTTACTGTAAGTAATTTTAATTTTTTTAATTTTCAATTTAATTTAATTCAAAGTAATGGTCCGTGGAAAAGCTACAAATCAAAAACTACGCGAAATTATCATTCGTCAATACAGTACAGGAAAAACAATTCGAAAAATTTCTGATGATTTAAGTATTCCCAAAACCACGGTCTTTAAAATAATAAAAAAATACGGCGAATCTGCCAATGTAGACGTTAGAGGTAAAAGTTCGGGAAGGCCAAAAGTTGTATCTCAGAGAGACCAAATGTAGTAAAATTTTGCAAGTCTGCGAGAAGAAGTACTCTTCGCGAAGTAACAGTTAAATGGAATACTGTAACTGGTTTATATGTATATATCAAGAGAATGTTGCCGATAATAATAAATGCGGTCTGGGGTTTTACAAGGTAAACTTTATTTTGTGTGGATAATCAATTACCTGAAGATTATTGATACAAATTCTTATTTAGGACGAAGAAAAACCGCTACTGACAGAAATTCAAAAGAAAAATCGCTAAAATTGGGCAAAATCTAAATTATCGTGGACAAAAAATGATTGGAATAACGTCATATTTAGTGATGAGTCTAAATTTGATGTCAACATATACTTGAGACATCACTTTTGCCTAGTGCTCTAGAATTGTTTCCAAACGAAGACTATATTTTCCAACAAGATGGAGCATCGTGCCATTCAGCAAAATCAACTAAAAATTGGTTCGGTAATAATAATATAAAAGTTCTATCCTATCCTGCAAGTAGTCCGGACCTCAATGTTATAGAAACTGTGTGGCATAAAATGAAGCAATATTTAAGAAACCACCCTCAACTAACAATTTTTGTTTTGCAGACAAAATGCAGGAAATTTGGGATAATTTTTCTCCTCAAATGTGCCAATCTTTGGTAAATACAATGCCATTAAGAGTTCAGGCAGTTGTTAAGGCGAAAGGTGATGTAACTCCGTATTAAACAAATGTCTTGTTGTGCTGTCCCAATATATAGTTGTCAGCAAATTTGGTTTGATTTTGGCAAAATAAGGTATTATCAAAAGTGATTTGTTTGCAAAGTTATAAAAATATAGTAAAATTGTCTATATCACATTGTAATGTTTGAATTTAGAATAATAAACAAAATAAATTGAGTCGTTTTAACAAATTACTATTTTTATTGCAAAAAAAGACCTTGTCCCAACGTATAGTTGTTAAGGCTCGTATATGACATATAAATCAAGACGACTGACGTATTCACTACTATTTCTCATTTTTAAATGGTACCTTCAGTATTTTTTCACTTTCTTTGATAGAAAATGGCACATTCTGAATAGAAATACATATCATATGTCCACTTTTGACTTTTGCACTTTAAAAAAAATACCTAATAATTTAAATATTAATCTAGAGTGTTAAAAAACTAGTTTTTAATCAAGGAGCCTTGGAAAAATAGATTTGATCTATGTTCTTCGTGACTTTTTCTGGCCGTTTAGAAGATCGTATTTTTAATCATATTTTTAAATCGTATTTTTAATCATAACCATTTTTTTTAAAAGATGGCTCATTAGCATACTTGAACAAAAAGCATTTTTTACGAATAATTTGGAGCCACATACTTGATATTTCGAGTCAAATTATGGTTATGAACACAGTCATTGCACTCTACAGTATGTCCCCAGATTGTCTTTACAAGAGGGGGGGGGGGGCTTTTTTATTATTCACATTTTGAGAAAAATGCATTCTTCATAAAAATTTTTGCTTGTTCTAAAATGGTTGATACATGGAAAAACATGAAAATATGGTTGAATTTTTTGAAAGTTTTAAAAACTAAAACGCGTTTCTATGAGGTACTGAGGTACTAGGGGTGTCTCAATATGTATCATTTTCAAAAACATCCTATGACGTCAACCATCCTTGGTTTCATGAAGAAAAATAGTGTAGATTTGCACAAATCACAATATTCTAATATCATAAAACCAAAAACAAGACACTCTCTACTACATACGGTAAATAATACTGATAAATAATCACTTTGAAACAGCAGGACAACACTAAACACTCGTTGGGTAAGCACAGACCGTAAAAATGACACTACTTGAGAAACAACCGAATGAAATTGAAATTGTTATGTTTCTAGGGCCACTAGATTTTCGTTTGATCGCGGGATAACAGCCTTTCGGCGTGATTCTGTGCTGGTGTGCGGTTAGATCTGGATGCAACAGGGAATTAATGCGCCTGTTCCAGGCTGGATGGGCAGAGATCAATAAGCTGCGAGGTCGTGTTTTGATAGGTTACTATTATATACGTGACATAATACCTTTTGTTTTCCGGTAAATTCATCAGGCTGCACTTAACCTATTCCAATTAGGATAGCAATTACGCTAATTAAAGTATCTTACGGTATATCGCTTCATCGTCTAATTGTTTATTTTTTGCCATTTGCGTAATCGAAACGGGGTTTTAGAAGATATACAGGATGAACCAAAACCACAAACGAATTCGAGTTAATAAATGAGTTTTGACTCATCCTGTATATACCAAGCACTATGACATTTCGTAGTATATAATTAGTTTGAATAGTAAAACCAGAGAGTAAAACATTATAAAAAATACTTTTTTTCTATATATTTATAATATATTTATATATTTATAAAAAATTTAACTAATCCTTTTGTAAATGATCATTCCAATTCAGGAAAAAATTAAACACCCTTTTCAAACCACATAAATTCTTGTAAACAATAAAAATGTGACATCCACGTGACATCGAATTTGACAATGGCAAAGTCATATTTTTGCTGGTATTTTATTGTATTTTTCTGGGACGTATTATAAATTTATAGTAATTTGAAGAGAGATTTTTGCAAATAAGTTTTAGATGCCTATTCCAAATAAAACAAAATTTTAGACGACAGTACAATTTTAATGCCTCTTCAAAAAAGTCTAAACAATTTTTGCATAAAATCATCTGGCGAGATAATATTTGACTTTTTCAAAATTTATATGGGATTTCCTATGTTCCGCGTTTCGATGCACCACACGGTATATAAACAGTGTAATTAAACGTAAAAATATTCTTAAACACCTTGTATATCTACAATAATATTATTAAAATGCGCGCAACTGTTGCGTGCATATATTATAAAAAAATTGAAGTGAAAATCTTAAATAAAGCGAGAAACATGATATAGAGCTTTATAGGAATATTGACCAGTCTTATTGCTTTAGAAAAATAAATTTGTTTATGTTATAAATACAAAATACTAGTTAGTTATCCCTATTTTTGTTAATAAATATGAACGGAAAACGGAAAGCTGTTTTGAAAATATTAATTTGCCTCCCTTTTATAGATATCTGCCATCTAGGCACAGGATAGCAAACTATCATAGATTCCTTTAAAATTATCCATACCGTCCCATTTTTTATCGTCGTTATTTATACAAATTATATAGTATTGTAAAATATTATTCCAATTACTATTAGTAGAATATGTTTTTAAAATACGTAGTTCTATAATGTAATATAGAAAAAAACTTAAATTAAAATTCTAGTTATTTTAGTTTACTTTTTTGGGCGACATCTATTGTGAGGAAGCCAAATTAGTAAATACGTGCCTCCATCTAACAGACTTTTAGCAAATTAAATAAGTTAGGTTAGGTTAGGTTTTGTTTGTTATTGTTTTTAAATCGACGTTTTAATTCGTTTTTTTAAAAAGTTAGAATGAATTCAGACAGTTCCGATGAAGAATACAGCCCAAGAAAAGAAAACCGAACTGCAAGGAAATCTACAGCGTCCGCTGCCCAGCAACAAGCACCATCACCGCCTGTTTCAAGTTATACAACTAGAAGGTAAAAAATACGTAATTATTAATAAAATATCATCTTAATATTGAACTATTTTTTTAGGCAAGCTGCTCGAAATGCTTCCAAAGCCATATCAGCCTCCTCCTTTGAGAAGTCCATGGAAACATTTAACCCGGATCTGAGCCAGAGAGAACGAAGAAAAATTAGTAAAAAGTTTACTTCTACCTCAGTCAGAAGACCTGTTGGAGCTATTTATGATGACAGGTAATTTTAGTTGTATCTAACTTGAATTAATATTACATTTATGGTATTTTACAGAGGGATACACATAGCAACCGGTGTGGATCTTTGCGACTGCCTTAACGAGAGATGTCCAGGTTGTTGGTTCGAGTGTGTCAAATGCGAGGGTACCAAATGCGGAGCAGATTGTCGAATATTCAGAAAATATTTGCTCGATTCTATTGAATATCACGGTTATGACAAAACTATAAAAAATCCATTGTTAAATAGGAATTGAAACATGTTTTAAATATTTTTAATTATACCTTTTTAATTTTCTAATAATAATTTATGTTTAGGTTAATATGTCAGTGTATTGTATTTTATAATAGTGACAAATTTAAAAAAAAAATATGTCAAATTTTTAGTAAATAAGAGCTGAAAAAATGAGTTGAGATGGAAATGTACTTAATTATCCCTAGATATGGAATATCTTGACTTGGTTGATCATGTTTCGGAAATTTCCTTAAGATTGTTTATGTACATGTTGTTTCTGTAAGTGATTAAACTAATAAACATAGCTAAACAAAGCTTTCATTTTGTTTTTCTTTCAATCCTTTTTAGCTGGATTGATTCCCAACACCCTTTTATCAGACACATAGATGAAGATGAAATGTGGATGTATAAATACCCAGCGGTGCCTCCTATTATACCAAAAAACCTCCTATTTGTCTTAATTATTTTAATTCCATCAGTTATATTCTCTGTTGAATATGCATTGAAAGGAAGAAAAGAAGATATCATTAAAGGTAGGCTTATAACTAAAGGCACAACCTATACAGTACCAGCTGGCCAACTTACGGCTTTGAACACTGAAATTTACGATCTTTTATGAATATTCGCTTATCTTATGTAATAAGTGGAATTTTGAGCTTCACTGATGGTTCTAGACTGATTTTTTGACTACTTCCATGTTTAGGCGATTATTTTATTTGGTTAGATTAGATTGTTGGAGTGACTATGATCAGACTATTTCACTGCGATCTTTTCACATCTATTACTTACTTAATCACCGGTTTTGCTAGTGGGGCATAATTGGGGCTAGTTCGGCAATAACGAAATCTTTTAAAGGTACCTACATAATTATATTTTTAGAAGATGTTCATAAGACATTTAATCACTAGTTGATTAAAAAAAGTATACCATTAATATTGCAAATTATATTTTATCCTCTCATAGTATATATCTATTTAATTTTTTGATTATGTAATGGGGACTTTGTTTACACACTTGTTTCGTCGAACTGCTGGAATCCATTTTTGCTTTTGATCAAATCCGTGTAAGAAATTATGAAGATATAAAATGTTGTTTCGGGAGGGATGAATATCCGGGAAAGTTGAGTTATGGAATGTTATTGCACCCAATAGCGCCCTAATTACGCTCTCCTTTACGCGTTAACATTTGTTTGGCAATTTAATTAACATTTGAAATTGTCACAACACAACACGACCCGATGCCTAGTTCGAATTTTTTTTCACTTATTTTTTACTACCCGAAACAGCGTTACATCACTCAAACCTCGTACCTAAGAGCTTTATAGTCTCAATAACTGCGCTAGCAAAAAAACTAAAATACTTAAATATTATGATAAAGCCACGATTGAAAGCTATTGTAATTCTCTTCTGATCCTTAATGATGATCTTCTGATCCTTCATATAGCTCTTTGTCAGTGACCTATCATTGCCTAGTATAAAGTAGTTGACTCTGCAAGATATGCGATCTGTTGGCCGGCTGATACTAAATAGTCTGTGTTAAAGGCGTTTTTAAAAAACTGTATTTTTTCTTATATTCAAGGGGTTTATGGAATAACATTGGCGTATGCGCTCAATGCAATCCTTACGGTGGTTTTAAAACTGTTTGTGGGCAGACCCAGGCCCAACTTTTTTATGAGATGTTTTCCAGATGGATACGGAGTTGATATCAATAATTGTACCGGAGAATATGGTGGACATATGGATGGTATATTTATTTGTGGATATTTAAACGTTTTTAAACCGTAACGACAGTTGTAAATTACGTACTAATAATTGTAATTGATTGGGAGTGATTAATAATTTATTAAATATTTCCTAACATTATTAAGATAACTTTCGAAAACAAAAAATATGTCTAGGAATTAGATCGAATTTTAAAAATAGTTAGATTCGAATAACTCATACAGGGTGTCCCAATGTACATTGGACAAAATTTGCCTCTATACAAAAGTGTTTCGTTGGTCCGCCAGAGGGCATCAAACTTTAAAAAATTAAATACATTTTTTAAGATTCACTGCCACGAAATTTTTATTAAAATATTAATATTTTTTGATAAATACGTGGACTGCTCACAAATCACTAATACATGTCGCGTCACCACCGTTATCCTTACCACTTTGCGTCTCGCTAGCTTGTGTGTAACGACCTTGAATTCAAAGCGAAAGCTTCAGGGATATCGGGACTTAGCATAAAATAAGGGGTCCCGGGACTCAATGATGGTCCCGGGACCTCAACTTGGTCCCGAAACCGCTAAATTATAATACTTTGCAGTTGTTGAAGTAATGTATTTTAAAAGAAACCATCAGAAAATCATTGAAGACCTGTCAAGTGATGATAATTATAGCGACGACGACAATGAAACTGTGCATGAAGAGATCATTTACGACCTAACTGACAGCTACAACATAAACGAATTAGTCAACAAAGTCCGAAAAATCGTAAAGTTATTTCGACGCTCTCCATTGAAAAACACTGTTTTACAGAAATACGTGCACGGAAAATACAACCGAGAATTAAATCTTATTTTAGATTGTAAAACCCGTTGGAATAGCCTTGATGGAATGCTAGAAAGGTTTGTTTTTCTAAAAGAATGCATACAAAAGGCCATGATTGATCTCCCCATATCAGTAAATCTCTATGACTACGATTTTGAAATTATGGACGGAATTGTTAAGTGCCTAGAACATATAAGGCTAGCTGTGATGACACTATGTAGGTATGAAGAAAATCTCTACACTGCTGATGCTAGCTTTAAGTTTATATTCGAAGAACTTTCAAAAATCAATGCGCCTTTAAGCCAAAACTTACAGGAAGCATTGAAGCAGCGAATAAACGAGCGAAGAACCCTTGCCTCCAGTGTGCATAGTTATCTCTGGAATCCACTAAAATATATAGAAAGTTTAAGCAATCCTTTAGATTTTAATCAGTCTAAGCCAAGAAATCTTAAAGTTCATTGACAAATTGGTGCAAAAATCCAAAGTGCAAGAGTAAGAAGCTGTTTCAGATGAAGATGAAGTTTCGCTGGCCGAGATAAGAAACAGAAATAGTAATTAGGTTGAGAAAGTTCCATTGGCAAAAAGGTTAGACGGATTTATTGAAAGGCCTCAACAAGAACTGCCTCACAAGAACAAGAGCAAGCATACCAACGTCATTAGCTGCAAAACCAGATCGATTATCAAAAGTTATAAAAGGAGAAATGGTCTTTTTTGAGGATGGCGGTTGTCGAGGACAATATGTGCAGCTATGTTACGAGCATTTACTGACCATTCCACCTACCAACGTCTAATCGGAGAGAGCTTTTTGCCGGTGGATTTTGTAGTTAGCTTCGTTCAAGATTAGATGATAAATCCTTAAATGCCCTCGTGGCACTTAAGCCTTACTTTGGACAAAAGTGATGTTTCTCGTTATTTATATTTTTTTAGTTTATATAGTTTTTTATAGTTTTATATAGATTATATTAGATATTTATATTAGAGCTCTCAGTTAAATTAATTTAATTTCTTATATTTTCTCAAGACGGATCTAATCGATATTAGATAAGTATACTGTGTATTTTAGTTTCGGGACCAGTTTCGGGACCAGTTTCGGGACTCGAGTTTCGGGACCCTGATATTTGGTCCCGAAGTCCCGAAAGCATTTTTGGTCCCGGGACTTGGATTCCCTAAGTGGCGTCCGTTTTGACAAACTCGACACACAAGACACCATGAACGCGCATCTAATGTAAAATAGATGAAAAAAATAAAATAAAATAGTTGTGCGAGTAAATTCCGTCAGAGCTCGCATGCTTAAAAAAACGCACGGACCCGCGTCCAATGTAACCGCGGGCTTATAGAACATCCGTTTTTATAACTTAAGTCTATATTTTAATTGATTTAAAAAAAAATTAAATCATGGTGATCTGCAAGTTAAGTCAGTAAAATGACTTAAATCAAAAATAGACTTAAGTTTTCTGTGAGCTTGCAACTCTGGGTACTAATACAATGTTTGTTTTTGCTGTGTTTAGGTAGAAAAAGCTTTCCAAGTGCTCACACGACGTTTGCCTTTACAGGCATGTTTTTCATGACGCTGAGGATGTACACCTTGTTGAAAATTCATGAGAGAAACAGGGGACAAGGTTGGAGGTGTGTTCTTTGTGTGCTGCCGTTGGTCATAGCTGTCCTAATCGGAATCAGTCGAACATGTGATTACAATCACCATTATACAGGTACCTAAATTATTGATTTATTTATATTAAGTACAATCCATAGAATTTATGAGGATGACAGTTGTTGACTGGCATTCTAGCTCGACAGTACAGGATTTTTTCTGTCAGTTTTTGGATGTTATCTGTCGAAATTATCCTTTGTGTTACATTTTTACTGACGTTTGTAGAAAAAAGGTATTTTGATGCATAGATAACGTATATCAAGTTTCATAAAGATATCTTTCAAAAAATCAGAGTTATTTTGAAAAAAAAGTATTTTTTTAGAAAGTTTTACCACCCTGTATCTCAGAAATATCATATGAATTTTCTCTTAGAATAGGTCCAAGAATCGCTTCCTTAAATATTAGATGTCACTAAGGAACACCCTGTATAGACAAAAAAAGTATTTTTTCTACAAATGTCAGTAAAAATGTAATTTTTAACGCACTTCTTTGGTCACTTTCCATCATTTTACAAGAGTTGAGGCACAAATTTGACATTAGTTGACAACAAATGACCGAATGTTTGGAATCTTTCAATTACCCTAGCAACCATAAACTTCATAATTAATTTGATTTCAGAATCACAAAACATCCCCCTTTAGAACTTCGTCTATCATGTTAAGAAATGAAAGTAAATAATAAAGCGCCTCTCGTGTTTGTTCGCACACTAAAAATTTCAATTATTGCCTGTATATATTTTTTAAATTTACATTTTTTTAATTGTAAAGTAATATATTACATTTGAATGGAATATATTACATAACAATTATATCAATAACAGGATTACAAGCTTGTTTTCTAAATTTTTTTAAATAAAACGAATTATAAAATTTCAATATAATGTATATTTGTCTTAGGTATGAAAAAAGTAAGATATAAAATGGACAAACGCTTACTTACATTACAATAAAACTTCCACTTTTAGTTTTGCAATCCAAACGCAATTATTTCTATTTCACAAGTAAAAATATCCGACAACACTAAAATCACTGAAACTTCCGCGGCTCAACGAAAACTGAAAAATATAACGGCACTTTTTTGAAATAATATAAAATATCTAATTATAACTTGTAAATTTTAATATTTTAATATGATTTTAACTATTTCTGACAATAACTAACTTTTTGTTTTCAAGATGACATTTTAGACGGCAACTGACATCATAGATAAAAGAAAATAATCTACTATTAAGATAGATATGAAACTTAATAGTAAAATTTTGGGTCAAAGCGCCCCTCCGTGTTTTTAGTGGAGACTACGTTTAACCCAGCGCCTTCGCCTTTTCTGCTGTAAATGTTTTTTATGTTTATATTTGAATTCAAAGGATTTATTTTTTTTAAAGTTACACTGATATATTAAAATATCAGAGTAACTTTAATAAACATAAGAATATATATATATATATATATATATATATATATATATATATATATATATATATATATATATATATATATATATATATATATATATATATATATATATATATATATATTTACAATTTATTTTTTTTTTTATTTTACAGAGTTTCATGTAAATGATCGTAAGTCGACTGGCTGTCTAATGAATAGACCGAGATTTATAGATTTTAAAGCGAACGAAAAAAAATCAAACAACGAATACATACCATATATTTTTCTTTTATCTAAGATACCTTATCGTCTTTTGGAAACACGTACATTTTTGCACTTTTGTTAGTTTCTTTGCAAGATGCAACACAACAAGAAAACACCATTTTTACAGTTAATAAATAATAAAACTATTTCTGACTATGATATTTAAAATTCAGATAGATAGAAAATTAAAAAACAAACCAGTATTTGCAAACGCAGGCCCAAATTCAATAAAAATCAAAATTTTTCCTGCGAAAATCAGGCTTTTTTCACTGAAAAGGTATTTTTTGATTTATCAGCGGTCATTGTCAAGTTGACAATATACAGGGTGTTTTCGAATTAGTCTAAAAAAATTATGGTGTGATTCCTCATGTGTTCTTAAAACAATTTTTATATAACCATTAGGTCTCAAGTACTTCCTTTCAGATCTACGGGGTGTTAAAATTAAAAAAAATCGATTTTTTTGCTTAACATAAATGGTGTACACCACTGCTTTTTTAAAGAAAAAATATTTTTTTCTTGACTGGCAATCCTTTTTCAACAAAATTGATCTTTTGAGTTTTTCTTGTTCATCAAACGGTTGTCGAGAAAAAAATAAATATACTTATTAAGAGCCCGCCTTAATTTGTTTTCTAACGATTTTTTATTTTTTAGATTAATTAGGAAACACCCTGTATATGCATATCACAGGCAACCAAATAAACTAGTAACCTCTAAAAATTATTTTTCCTACCACTAGCGACATACCGTGTTTTTAGTGTGTACTAAATTATTTTATCAAAATTTCACCATATAAGTTTCCAGGCAATGACTGACATACATAAATACATATATGTCATAATATTTAAATTTTTAATATGTATGTAATATAATTTATAAGTTAATATAATGCAACTTTATACTAAGAAAACATTTATACATTCACAAAATACAACAAAGTCTAATAATAGTTATAGTTTGAAAACAATGAATATTGAATTAAAATTAAAATAAAAATTAAAAAAGTTAAGCGCGACCCCTTGTGTCGAAATTAGATGATTAAATTTTCGAAATTTTTACACCATTTGATGACCGGTGGCGCCTCTAGTGTTTGTTCGGCCGGTTGGTCTTTTACTTCCGCTTATGACCATTAAAGAAAAAGTTCTAAAACGGGATGTTTTGTGTTCAGAATGACTTTTGCATTAAATATGTAATATTATTATATTTTATTTTTCAGATGTGCTTTTTGGAAGTGCTATGGGATCATGTATAGCTTACTGTACCTACTACGTCTATTTTCCAGAGAGGGATCAGCCCCTAGATAACAAGCAAACTACTCTTTAAATTCTGTAAATGTTATTTTCTAATAAACGTGTAAAAATATTAGAAATTATATTTATATATATTTCAATGTTCTTCAAATTTTATTTAATAAAAGTTTTCGTATAAAATTAAACAGGAATCTTTCATTTATTATTTTTCAAATTTTATTTTTATGGTCCAGGTGTTCTTGCCAGGTGTCCTGCCCCCACCTGAGGGATTTGATTCTGTGGATTACATCTATTACCCCTATATTTTGTCGTATCCACTCTATTCTTTTATTATCAACTAGGCTGTTATTATAATTTTATTTCATAATGAGTGAAAATCAACAAAAACAAATTTCATTTTAAACAGAAAATATTGAAAACAATTTTAATTATTTCTCACAAATAATAGTCTGTATTGCCTCCTCGAGCTTCAATGCAGGCTGTGAGACGAGGTGGCATGCTCTCAGTTAAGTTGTCCAGAAGATGTTGAGAAATGGCTTCCCATGTTTCGCGAGCAGCAATTTTCAATTCATTTAAGGTACGGAGGGATTATTCCTTTTGGCAATATGGTGTTTTAGCATGTCCCAAGCATGCTCGATCACATTCATATCTGGAGACATCGGTGGCCACCACAGTTTTCTTATACCCTCTTCCTCACCAAATTCGCGAACCGCTAAAGTGCGATGGGGAGGAGCATTATTGTCCAGGTAAACAAATTCATCCTCACTACCCCTCGAAATGGTTGTGACAATAGGCTCTAAAACGTCTCTAAAAAAAGGTCTAAAAAGATATGAGGCACCTGTCATTGTGCAATCAATAAAAACAAGATGACTTCGAGCTCGCATTATTGCATTATACCGGCCCATACCATAATGCTTCCTCCTTGAAACGGGACACGGGGTTGATCTGCATTCAAGCGTGCTCGTCTTCCAGATGTTCTCCAGACCAAAGTTCGTCGCGAGTCTGACACTAGGCCTATTCTTGTTTCATCACTTCTTCTTCTTCTTAAGGTGCCGACTTCTTTCCAAGGTTGGCGACCATCATGACTAATTTAATTTTGTTGACTGCTGCCCTGAATAGGTCGTTTGATGTACAGTTGAACCATTCTCTGAGATTTCGAAGCCACGACATCCGTCTTCTTCCTATGCTTCTCTTCCCTATTATTTTACCCTGGATAATTAGTTGTAGAAGCTTGTATCTTGTACCTCTCATTACGTGGCCCATATATTGGAGTTTTCTGATTTTCACCTCTTTGGAAAATTCTAGATCTTTTGAGACTCTTCGTAAGATTTCTTCATTGGCAATTCTGTCAATGTTATCCGGAGTACCCTTCTGTAAAGCCACATCTCGAAGGCATCTATCTTTTTAAGCATTTGTTTTGTTAGAGTGGCAGCTTCTATACCATAGAGCATTATTGTAAATATTTAGCATCTTAGCATTCGTATTTTAAGGTGGTTACTTAAAGTTTTGCAACAAAAGAATTGCTTCATTTTAATAAAGGTGTTACGTGCTATTTCAATTCTCGTTTTTAATTCTGATGAGTAATCATTGTTGTCGTTGATCAGGGTTCCTATATATTTATATTTATAGACTCGCTCTATTATCTGATGGTTTACGATCAGTTTAGTATTTTGATTTGGTGTTTTGGTAAATATTTTTTTTGGTAAATGTTTCATCACCAAACATGACGAAATTCCAATTAGGTCCATTTGCTCTCATCTCCTCATTCTAGTCGCGTAATTTTGTGCTGTAAATTAAGCTTCGGAACACGTAGAGGCCTCCTTAAATGTAATCCTCTGTCATGGAGTCTTCTTGCTGTGGTCTTTCTTGAAACATTTACTCCTCAAGGCGAGCTAACTCATTTTTAATAGCAGTACTAGAAAGCAGGAGATTGCGTCGTGCAATTAAGGATATTTGACGGTCTTGCATAGCAGTTGTAACTCTCTTTCTACCTCTTCCACGCCGGTCTGTAACCTCGTTTGTCTCCCTGAATTTTTTTAATATTCGCTAAACATCGCTTTGGTTAACTCCTACAATTTCAGCTATAGCAACTTGCCGGTAGCCCTGTTGAGACAGTATTACTATTCTGACTATATCAAGCTGTGAAATAATGTTTCTAGGCATTTTAAGGCCAAAAGAATGGTTAAATTTCTTCTGAAACCCAAGAGACCACAAATCCAAATATGCAAGAATTTGTAATAATATTGGGTCTTAACGATAAACATTGTTTACCATATCCATTTTAACAAAAAAATGTTTATTACCGATTATTAAAGCTATGTATAAAAAAAGATTCTTTAAATTCCTTTCCGTATATTTTTAGACGATATATGCAATAATTTTGGCCATGTGTGTACATTCGTCGAATAGTATACTAATAAGTACTCCATGCCAAGTTAATTCTTCTTTTGATTTCCGTTAGTAGAGATCCAGAGCCTGGACAGATTGGAGTTCTTCAGGATTATGTCATCAGCGAATCTTAAATGGTTAAGATATATTTCTCATCTATCCTTTGTTGGTCCAGTTCAGTTGACGAAAGATTTCTTCCAGTGTTGCTGTAAACAGCTTTGGGGCATCTCCCTGTTGTGCTAATGACTGGCAATTTTTCTAAACTTTATCTTTTAAACATCTATGTTAGATATATTTATGTTTTCTATGAGTCAGACATATCAAATTCAGTTTTTTAGTTGGAAGCAAACAAAACACTGAATTTATCTAAACTAAAATAATATACCAATCGACTTTTTGAACGAAATGACAAATCCTGTGTTTTTTCAGGGTATTTGAGGCGATATACAGCTTCTATATCTGAAGGGAAGGTATTAATAAATCATCAGACTTAATCTATTAAATTTATTGTCTTCTTAAACGATTACAAACACTTTTATAAGAGGATAGCCAATACTTTTCGATCTCCATTTTGTTGATAGAGTTAGTTCTTTGTAGACAGGAATGATATAGAACAAGATGGTGAGTCGAATTTGAATATTACTTTACTTATTTTGCTTCATTGTCTCATTTATACAATGTTCTCTCAATAACTACTGTTTGACTATTTAATTTAAAAAATACTAAAAGCGTTTTAGTGTAAAGGAAAATTCCTTATAAAAAATATCAATACCCTCTGTAAGAATTAATACTCTTATATACTAGAGCCGAGTATTCACCCGTGAATTTGTTGGGTGCAGTCAAGCATGAGGTTTTCCACTAAGTACATCTGCATTGGAGGGTTTTATGAATGGTTGCCATATTGTTGAAATTTCCATACTTGGATTGCTACAGATTTTATTATTGTTAGAAATGAATACGTCCTCTTTAATTTGCGCTTTTTCCAATGGGGTTCTTTGTGGACTTTGTTGTTTCACCTCTTTGCGTATGTTTTTTATGTTTTCAAGTCCTACATGTAGAAGACGTTTTGTCTTTCAAATATACGACTCACCGCACTCGCAAAAGGAACCTGTTTTTGTTAGGATACTTCTTAGAGTAGTCTCAGACCTAAAAACGTTTTAATTTTATATCGCTTAGTTATTCGCGTGGTCTTCTCCGATGTACCTTTCACATATGGAATCGTCAAGAGAGAGAGCATCATCCTCAGACTGGCGTACCAATGAGTCAGACCTGCAATTGAATATAATATTGTCTAGGGATTTTGCAGAGTAACCATTCTGAAGCAAATCGGTTTTAATAATACTTTGTTCAGAATGAGTTCGAAAATTTACCTGATCAGGAACCTTCTTTCGCAGTTAAAAATAATATTGAATTCATTAACAAAATTAAAGATATAACATTGCATGAAGGTGAAATTTTGGTCTCCTTTGATGTATCTTCGTTGTTCCCAAGTGTTCCAATTCCACATACTTTAGGCTACTTGAAGGAATTACTGAACGCAAATGGTCTCGACAACAAAACTGTGACTGAATATATTGAGCTTACATCGTTATGTATGAAACAAAATTGTTTTCAATTTAATAACAACTTTTTGTACAGCGGGAAGGTACAGCAATGGGTAATCCATTGTCTCCATTTTGGCTAATTTACCCATGAGCAGGTTTGAAGTGGAGGCTAAGAATCAGTTTGAGTATTTTCAGAGTTTGGTTTAGGTATGTGGATGATATTTTGCTGCTTTTGACACACATTCAGACACCATAGATAATTTTATTTCTAAGTTAAATAATCGTTTTCCTTCCATTAAATTTACTCATGAAATTGAGAACAACGACAGATTACCATTTCTAGATGTATTAGTTATTAGAAATGCTAATAATTGCCTGAATTTGATATCTATAGGAAAAATACGACCACACGCAGATATATTCCTAATGAATCACATCATAGTGTTGAACATAAAATGGCTAGTTTAAATTTCTTAGTTCATAGATTATTTAGTTTCCCACTTTCCAACGAAAGATATGAAATAGAAAGAGATTACATTAGGAATGTAGCTGAGTATAATGGATATTCTCCTTCACGAGTTGATCAATTAATTAGAAAACGTAGGTATAGGTTAATGATTTCTGAAAATTCGACTTTTCAAGTGGAGAAAGATACGTCTGAATATTTTTCGATACCGTTTGATAGAGAGTTATCCCGTGGTCTAAAAGGAATTTTTAAGAATGTCAATTATAAACTTGTGTATAGTGCTAATAATAAATTACAACAATTATTAGGTAATCCAAAGAATAAAACACCTCCACTGGAAAGGTCGGGTATTTATGAAATTTCTTGTAAAGATTGTAATCAGAAATATGTTGAGGAAACTAGAAGATCAATATTAACTAGATTTAAAGAACATTTAGCTCAGATAAGATATGGTAGACCGGATAAATCTTCCGTTGTCGAACATATTGTTGATAAAGAACATTGTATAGGTCTTAATAATTTAAAATTAATTAAACAACTCTCAAATTACAGGCAATTAGATGCATATGAAAGCATCAGAATTAATAAATGTAAAGATAGTATGAACAGAGACAACGGTCCAATTCCTTCAAGTTCTTTGTTCCTACTACTCTAGTGGCGGAAATCTAACTGTTTTGCTCAGTGGGTTCTGACTCGGTTGGCTATATTTTGCCACGCCCACTCGGTGCCCACTGGGCGAGTATATAAACGCTCAACTTGTAGATTGTACTTTAGTTTATAATCATCTGCTGATGATGCTAACATGGTTAGCGAAACGCGCGTCCAGTGTAAAAGTAAAAGTGTTTTGGTGTATTGTGGTGATTTAGTGTTTTTATTATGGAGTGTAGACATCTTAATAGAGACGAAATGCTAAGGGCCATGGGAATGCTCGAAGCTGTAATGCGCCAAATCGACGTAGCTAGAGCATTAAATACAACGCAAAGTGTAATATCGCGATTAAGTGCACGCTATCGTGAAAGTGGTGATATTGCTGAAAGGCACTCAGGGCGACATCGCATTACTACCCCTCAGCAAGATCATTTTTTACAATTAAATGCTCGACGCCGACCGGCTCTTACAGCACCAGAGCTTAGTTTAAATCTCCAGGAAACACATAATGTAACCGTTAGTCCTGACACTGTTCACAATAGATTAAGAGAGGTCAACTTAAGAAGTAGACGCCCCTGGAGAGCTCAACCCTTAACGAGAGGAAATCGAGAAGTACGATATTTGTGGGCTCAAGATCATGTTCAGTGGTCGAATGAACAATGGGCCAATGTTCTCTTCACGGATGAGTCACGCTTTGGAATTCATCCGGATTCGAAAAGACTTAGGGTATGGAGAGAACCGGGAAATCTTATTCGGTTAGATCATGTTCAGGAAGTGCACCCTTATCAAGGTGGAACAGTTATGGTCTTGGGAGGAGTCCAGTTAGGCCGAAAAACCGATCTCGTTTTTCTTGAAAGGTTTCTAACAGGAATCACATATCGTGATTTAATTCTTGAGCCTGTCCTGTTACCTATGACCTATGCTAATGATTTTGGGAGAAACTTCATTTTCATGCATGACAATGCACGGCCTCATACAGCCAGAGTGGTAAGTGAGTTTATCAATGCTCATCAATTAAACATCTTACCCTAGCCGGCACAATCTTCTGACCTCAACCCCATCGAGCACATATGGGACGCGGTCCAAAGAAGAATTTTGAGAATGGGTATGCCTCGTGAAACTCGTAGGGATCTGGTTCGGGCCGTGAATGCAGCGTGACAGGCTGTACCTCCAGAAGAGATCGACAACCTGATCAGGCGCATGGAGAGACGATGTAGGGCTGTAATGAACAGTAGAGGAGGCCATACCCTTTATTAAATAAAAATGGTTTTATCTTTTTTTTTAATTCACAGTTTAGAATAAAAAAAATATGTGTATTTTTTTGAGTTCAATAAAAATCAAGGTAAATATGAAAAATTCGGTAAATTTCGCATTTTTATTCCCAATACGTCCTGTAAACTATTTGTTTATTTTAATTTTATTATTTTTTTGACTTTTCCGGTGTGTGTATCATGTTTTTAATTTTTTTCTTAAAATTTTTATAATTTAATTGTGTTAATTCTTTTGGTAACATATTATATATTGTGGTAGTTTCTGTTGTTAGTTTTTGTGAACGTTTTTTTAGTTCTCTTGGCTATTCTGATGTCTGATTTTCTTCTAGTTTCGTGTGTTTTTGTTTGTTAGTTTTTAAAGAAATGTTTGTTTTTATTAATTTATTTTTGATTTTGTGTAGAAATAATATATTATGATATTTTATTAATTCTCTTATGTTTAGTTCTTTTGTTTTTTTGGTATACTTCTTCTGTTGGTGTTAGTAAATTATTAAATCTTATAAATTCTGTTTTGGATTCATTTATAGTTAGTGAATTGTTGAAGCAGTCTTTAAAAAATTATTTTTGCTTGAATCTTAAACTAGACCATTTAATAATAATTTTTGGCTTAATATACAAATAAATTAAAACCTTCTTAAAGCCAGTTGGCAGTGAGTGCTATTAAAAAATAAAGAAGTGCACGGGCCAAGTAAATGACGGCTTGACCTCGTCAAAATTATCATCGATTGTCATTCCCCCAGCCTTCTTTGACTGCGTTTTATTTTCGTTCATTTGGTAGATGCCCAATTTTTTTCCATACTGCAAAAAATACACTGTACACTGTACGATTTTCCAAATCCTTAGTCAAATAAAATAATATTATTTTAATAATCCTTAAAAGATTAAACGAGAGAAATTATCTTATTTTTGTATACCTGCGTTATATTATAGCCGTAGTTATCTTAGGATTATCTATCTATAAATGTAGTTTAAAAAACGGATATCTAAATTACTGAGAGGCAATTAAAGTTTCAGTCAGAACATATAAAGTTACAGCCGATGATGGATTGATTAAAGTTCGCTAGATTATTAAGACTAATTATTATTATTTATTATGTTATTGATTGTAAAATGGAAATATACAGGGTTGTTCACCACATACGACACGGAGTATTGTAGCTAAACGATTAGATTTTTACATATTGTAAGTTTTGTGTTCGTTGAAGGACTATTAGAGCTACAATTTAAAAATATTTTTACAAGATACAGAGTGTTCCAAATAAATAAAAAATATCAAAGTTGTATTTTTTTAAATGGAACACCCTGTATATTATTACATTTTTAGTTTCTATGATTAAAATAAAGGTAAATTTGATTAAGGTTTATTACACTTAAACCTTACCGTTTTTGAAATATTTTCAATTTTGTGAAATTGCAGTAAAAATTTGAAGGCTTCATATCTCCAAGGGTATCAAAGTTTTTAATACTAAATATTTCCTGAAGTTTATTTTTTGATCAGTTATTGTGTTGCAATAATAAAAATTATACTACCTTATACAGAGTGTCTAAAAATTTATTTTAAATAATTACTAGCTTTAAACGGCAATAACTTGTTTAATTTAAATAGAACACCCTGTGTATTTTATGAGAATCAGGTACACAATTTAATTTTCTATCAAATTGTATTATGCAATTTTTCTTCAATGCATTTACTTGTAATTTAGAACTCATTTATCAATATACCCATGGAATACTGACATTTTAGATTATTTTTGAAGATGTACCAAATTTTTAAAGAGTACAGATACTAATATTGTCGATATAGTTCGTTTATTTTAAGAGTACAAATTAATATGATTCCAGTATTCAAACTACAATAATTGACTGTTTCCGTTGATTAATAATAATTGCTCCAAATAATAAAAAACTGAATTTTTTATGTGTATTAGACAGTGTGGTTTAAGTGTAATAAATCTTAATCAAATTTACCTTTATTTTAATCTTAGAAACTAAAAATGTAATAATATACAGGGTGTTCCATTTAAAAAAATACAACTTTGATATTTTTTATTTATTTTGGACACTCTGTATCTGGTAAAAATATTTTTAAATTGTTGGCTATGCACTATTATGCAGGCCCAAGTTATCTCTGCTAATTTCCTAATATCATAGTCCCATCGCAAGTTGGGTCCTCCTCTAGGTCTCTTGATTCCTCGTAGGTACCATACTGTATTTTTTGTGGTCCATCTGTTGTCTGTTCTTCTGGCCAGGTGTCCTGCTCATTGCCACTTGAGGGATTTGATCCTGTGGATGACATTTATTACCTGGGTAAGACCCAGGTCATAGATGTAGATAAAGAAGAAACATTTACATTCTGGACAATGCGTAGACCCGGTAAATAAGTTCAAATACCTGGGATCCTGGCTAACATCGGACCTTGACCCCCACTAAGAAGTTACATCGCCTATAGAACAGGCTAGATGAATGTTTAACAAAATGAGAAACCTATTATGTAACCGACACTCAACTTACGTCTGCGTTTTGTTCATTGTTATGTATACTCAATCCTCTTATACGGCTGTGAGACATGGACGCTTAAAGTGATCACCATGAGACGGTTGGAAGCTTTTGAAATGTGAATCTACAGAAGACTCTTGAAAATACCCTGGGCAGATTTTGTACGCAATACGAAGAGGTCCTTGAGAGGCTTCTTAAAGTGCCCTGCAGATTCCTGCGTAGGCGTTCATCTTTTTCTTCCTCATCAGGTGGTTCTATTAACTGGAACGACTTGGAGTGCTTGGAAGTCCTGTATGCCTGTCCAATGACGAATATTTCTCAGCCAGGATAGCTTCCTTCGGCCTATTCCCCTTTTGCCCCCCTCTATTTTACCCTGGAGAATCAAACGCTGAAAGTGATCACGTTCTCCACGTAGTATGTGTCCCAAATAGGCTATTTTCCTCTTCTTGATGATTTCGAAGAGTTCACGTTCTTCTAGCCCAGCTCTTCTGAGAATGTCTTCATTCCTCACACGGTCGACCCAGGGCACTCTAGCATTCGTCGTGCGTAAGGTCCACATTTCGAAGGCTTCAATTCGGTTTATTGTTGCTACGTTCAGTGTCCATGCTTCCACACCATATAACAAAACGGACCAGACATAGTACTTCACCATTCTGTATCTAAGGCCGAAGTTCAAGTTCCTATCGGTGAGAAATCTTCGCAGTCTCAGAAAAGTAGATCTTGCTTGCTCGATCCTGTATTTGATCTCCTGATCTGGATCCCACGTTTCGTTAACCATGCATTCCAAATATTTAAATTGTGTGACCTGCTTGATGACCTCTCAATTTAAGTAAATTCGGGTGTTCGGAATATTGTTTCTGCTACCAGCCATAAATTTAGTTTTTGTAGTATTTATGTTTGAACCCAGTCTTTGGCTTTTGGAGATCATTTGCATTGTCTGCCAATATCACTGAGGCTTAACAAGGAAAGGAAATTACTGACAAAAATAAAAAAAAAACGGAAGACAGCATACCTGAGCCATGTCATGCGTAATAGTAGAGCAAAGCTTCTGAAGGTGGTAGAAGGCAGAAGAGGACTTGCGAGACCCAAGCACTCTTGGTTGAAAAACTTACTTACTTATTCTTAAACTTAATAGAGATTTTAGTTGAACAAGTGTGAATAAATAAACGATTTCTTTTCTTTTCAGAGTGTTAAGTTAAAATTGGACCATCTGCTGGTAGTTTTGAGCGCCATAGCTCTAACTTCAGCTTACAGACTACCCACTACGATAAACCCAACTCACTACGATGTGCATTTGAATTTCTCTCAAGAGATATTCAGCGGGCAAAGTGACCAGTTCACTGGGTTTGAAATAGTGACGATCAGACCGAACCAAAACACGCAGACCCTACAGTTCCATGCTGCTCACGACTTCATAACCATCACCAGTTTGTTCGTCACTAGCACTGACTTCACTTCTAACATAGTAGTGGACAATGACACGGACATTGTCACTGTTAATTTGGGGGCAACTCTAGTGGCTGGATTTACGTACCAACTGACCATCGAATTCACTGGGAGGTATAGTTGAATTTTCTTTGAATATAGTAGATAATGTTAAAGTGTTGAAGTTAAAAGAATTTCGATTCTATATGAATTCAAGAACTACTCCCCTTATACAGTTCTAGTATACCGGGTGCGTCTCAAAAGTGGCTCACCCCTATAACTTTTTTATTTTTACAGATAAAAAATCAAGATTTGGTATATTAATATATGACATAAATTAGGATTAATTGACGTATTCAATTGTTTTCTGTCACTTCCTGTTTCACCGAAAATTACTACAACTTTTGATTTTTAAATGGCACCCTCGGTGTTTTGTTACTTTATTCGATAGAAAATGACAATCCGAATATAATGACATACTATATGTCAATGAATATGATTCATAACTAAAATTTGACTCGAAATACCAAGCGTGTGGTACCAAATTATTCGTAAAAAAATTATTTTTCCAAATATGCTAATGCGCCTGTCATGTGTTTGAAAAAATTGAGATATGATTAAATATACAATTTGGGCATATTTTAACCAGCCAGGACAGGACAAGAATAACATTAGACGACCAAATCTATTTTTCCAAGGCTCCATGATTAAAAATTAGTGTTTTTAACAACACAGCCATGGCACTCTATATTGAAATTTAAAATTCAATTTTGTTTTAAGCAAAAATGTTAAAAGTTGACATATGATATGTCATTCTATTCAGAATGTCATTTTCTAGCGAATAAAGTAAAAAAATAGCGAGGGTGCCATTTAAAAATCAAAAGTTGTAGTCATTTTCGGAGAAACAGAAAGTGACCGAAAAAAAAACTGAACACGTCAATAAATCCCAATTTATGTCAAATACTAACATACCAAATATCGTTTTTTTATCTGATTAAATAAAAAAGTTATAGGGGTGAGTCACTTTTGAGACGCACCCGGTAGAGAAAGACCTCCATATTGTCTCGATAAAAATAAATAAACAAATGTATGTCCTAAAATTTTTAGTTTCTGAGATACAGAGTATAGAACTATCATTTTTATTTCGATTTTTTCCAAATAATTTCTGAACAAATGTAAATATTTGGATGAAAATTGGCGTCTGTGTTTTTTTTGACATGAGAAACTTAATTTTGATGTCAATATGACTCCTACTAGTAGGGGGCGCCACCTACATATGATTTAACTGTTTTGAAGAGTAATAACTTTTCGTCCGTACCTGTATAAAACTACTGAGTGAAAACATTTACATTTCCGTGATTTTCTACGTAAAAAATGTCTCTTAGTAAAAATCGCTACGAGCAACCGTTCTCAAGATATTTAGAATGGAAATAGTCAATACATGCCATTATTGACAAAAAATAAACATTATGTTGAGTAGGTATAGTCTATAAAATGAATAACTTTGAATTTTGACCGTTATTTTTTACCAACATGGTAAATATAAAATCCCTCTGTCAAAAAAGTTACTGATATTCTTTAAATTGAGTGCCTGAACGAATCAGATAGGTAACTCTTTTTACTTTCGTGAAATAGAAAAGGAAAATAATAAAACAAGTGACGTTAATTCTTCCTCTTCTTGCAAAAATCAACACAAAATGTCATAATTGACAAAAGTAAAATGTCATCAGCTTTTGACATTTCTAAATATTAGACCAATGCCGTCTCTAATAGAACAGCCACGGAGCGATATTTATGACGTCACGCTAGTTAGATACTACGGATTAATAAATATGTTGTAGAATACATGGAAAATATAATTATTCCTCGTATTTTTGGTTTGTATTTTAAAAATGATATAGTTTACATGAAATATACATAATATAAAGTTAATAAATAAAATATAATATATACCTATTTATAGTAATAAATTCTTTGCCAAATAAACTATGAACCATACAAATACAGCACAAATGTTTTACAATATACAATTAATGAATACATGATGGTACATAAGATAATGGGTAAAATGTAAAATATATTTTAAATTTTGTGGTTTGAAAATCGATCTAATTTAATAAAAAAACATTCAATATCTACTAGGAGTGATGTATTATTATTTGCAATCACAAAATTTATTTATATATTATAATGTTTACTGCAATTAATAAACTAATATAAACTTCAAAAGATGACCACATATTTTTTTAAATTATTATTCTTAACACAACAACTATCTACATTGACTATGGAGTACGATTTCAGCCATATTAAAACATTTGCTTTCTACTTGTATGGTTTATAGTTTTATCTGACAAAGTATTTATTACTTTAAATAGGTATATATATATATTGTATTTATTAACTGTATATTATGTATATTTCATGTAAACTATATCATTTTAAATACAAAACCAAAATACGAGGAATAATTATGTTTTCCATGTATTCTGCATTCTACAACATATTTATTAATCCGTAGTATCTAACTAGCGTGACGTCATAAATCTCGCTCTGGGGCTGTTCTATTACAGACGGCATTGCGTCAGCATGGCCGCAAGTTGATAACCTAATAAAATTAACACTAGAAAAGCCCGCGGGAACTGTCAAATTCAAAGTTATTCGTTTTACAGACTATAGTTATTTAACTGAAATGATAAATTTGGAAACTAGTACTAGTAGTACTTCTATATCCCAAACCTCCAAAACGAAGTATTTTAGGACATAAATTTATACAAACTTTTTTACATATTTTTATCTGCAGGTATTAAGGCAGTGCAAAAATGTGTAAAAATATTCCTGACACAAATCTTGTATCTCCAAGTTCAAAAATAGGATCAAATCTACATATCGTCAAATACTGAATCCTGTGTTTTCTCATTATAGACTGAGTACCCAGGACATGTACGGTTTCTACAGAAGCAGCTACACAACCGGGGGTGTGACCAAGTACCTGGCCACCACGCAATTCCAACCTGTATATGCCAGAAGAGCTTTTCCATGCTGGGACGAGCCAGCATTCAAAGCTACGTTTGCTTTCTACATTACCCGTCCACAAGGTGTCGATGCTTTGGCCAATATGCCTGGAGATTTTCACAACACTACCGATTTGATTGGTGATGATCCGTAAGTCAGTTTTTCGTAATAATAAAGAACTTTATACAGTAAAGAAGTAAAAAAACATAAATGAAAAAAATTGTGTGTGCAGTATGTAAAAAAACTTCTTACTAACAGCTATTAAAGTGTAGTTTGAAATGTTGAAAAAGTAATAAATTAATAAATAATTTCATTATATATAATAATAGCTCCCGTATATAGCGTTTGACGCCTTGGGAGTAGCAAGGTACAGCTTGCTATACTAGAGCACAAGGAAGGTAATGTGAATCCTCAGGATTGTGAATCCCAAGTACTCATTTAAGGCTGAGTCGACCTAGGTACCCAAACTATTTTTATTTTTTTTAATATTCGAACCCACTACCTTGAGATTGGTAGACGAGAGCCTGTACCTCTACGCCACCGGGCACCTTGATGTAATGTACCTTAATGCACCTTAATAATTTCATTCACTTTCAAAAAATTTGTATTAAAATGACCTTCTATCCGTCTAAGGACTCATTCAACATTCGGGTACCTCTATCCACGTGCCGAGTTTGGTTCCAATCGACCTAGAATTAAGAAAAATCGTGATGATTTCGTCCATTTAGAAGCATCGGTTCGAAACGTCGAGGGCGTCATCTTGTAGCCCGTTCACAATTATGCCGAAATCGACCCACATTTTTCTTCAATATCTAATCCTTACTTCCACCCTGATGATGATGTAAACGAAACGTCGTATCCAACTTTGCAGGGTGGGACCGTGTGCATGCACCGTCGCTCACATAGCCTACCCACCAAATTTGCTCGCGATCGGACGACATCAACTTTTGACGTTTCTTACGTCAAAACGAACTGTCACAGTGACACTTGTAGTCCACGGTCAAGCTGGCCTTGGTTCAATCTACCGACATACCAAATTTCTTTTAAATTAGACGATTTTTTCGTTCGTGATTAACGTGTGTTTCTATTAAAGAGGTTGCACTGTATTTGTACCTATACCGTGCTGGCAACTGTTATTTTTGGGTCGGCATTTACATGTGTGGAAGTAAATCGCATAGGGATCTTATTAAGTCGGAGTGAGAGAAATGCGACGCGACTCGCGACGGTGTGCTATTGCGGCGTTGCCGATACGCCTTTCCCTATCAAGTAAAGTAAAATCATGATCGCAAACCGCTTATTTTTAAAAAAACTTTTTTTCCAAGAGATAACTAGATAAAATCATTAGGTTTGTAATGTTTCTGAGCATCTGAAATGGAATTATAAGGATATTGTTAGGGTGTCATTTTTTTATAACGAGAAAACGTCAGTAATCGCGATAATTTAAAAACTCAAGTTTTTAACACATAACAGGCCATAACTTAAGAACCACTTTAGATATTGACATTTTTTTTTATTTTCAAAATCGGATATTTTACAATATGTTTACATAAGAAAAATTCGATAAGGTTGTTTTTTCCATTCAAAAATTGTAAACAATCCATCCATTTACTTTTAGAGCATAGCAATTTTCAGCAATCGTGTATTTTTTTTTATTGATAAAGATTTTCACATACTGTCTACAAAGAAAATACAGCAGATATATTAACAAAGTTCTTGAAAAAACTACAATCTATTATTTCTAATAGATTTCGAGATATCGATTTTTGAATTCAGAGTTCTAATAGCGCGACCACTATCGAACACCCACTCAATTCCACTTATTTTTACCAAAAATGCAGGTGTTTCTAGCTTGCACTTAAAACAAATCAAGCTACAGGGAAAATTACAACGACTCGTTAATAAATAAACAAATCAAGTATCACGAGACGTAATTAAATCGTGAAGCTGAACGCATGACACCTTTCCCTAGAACTTTAAGTACTGACACAGGTATTGATTGGGTCGACCGGTCAACTGCGACAAATCAATATCCCTTTCCACGTCTCTTAGCGATGTGCACAGTTTCTCGGTTTATTTCATACGTTTGGCAACGTGTTTACTGTCCTCTCTTCGTTCAGTACATTATAAACGCATTGTACTCTTCTTACATACGGAAATCTCGACCCAAGACTAACCTTTGCCAGCCCTTAGTATATAATTTAATAGATTTCCTTAAATTTACTACCAAAAATAGTTTTATTTACAACCACATACATATGTAATACTGGTCGCGTTCATCAGGACGTAGCGCTACGGCAGCGATCACTAATTTTCTGCTGAACGCGCCTATTAGTTGTGAGCGCTCTGGGATCAGTCGGCATTTTTTCCATCAGATTTAAAATACGCTACGCTACCGATGCATGATGGATTAAACGTCACATACGACAAATGTCACAAAATGTTTTGGAAAATGAAAACAAACCATTTTGTTTATTGTTCTCGGTTGACTAATCCCCTCGATTTGTGCCAAGAAAGGGTGAAAACAATTTAATATGCTTTACTTATGACTTAGACTATATGCATTACTTATGATTTATAGACCTTAGACAAGGAAAGAGAGTTCCTTGTCTAAGGGATGCTAAAAAGCGCGTTCAGCAGGACAACCAATCGATGGCACATCGCTCACTGATCAACTTGTCCTGATGAACGCGACCACTGACATTACTGACTTTTAAAAAATTTGAAAGTGTCAAATTATCTACAGTTCTTCCCTCTTCCATTTCCCTCACCCATTTCCCTCACTCGGTTTCTCTTATTTCTCGCCTCATTTAATTAAGTAAAATATTCTTGTAATATCTTTATTAAATAATTATCTGACATCAACAAAAATAAACAAGAAGACTAACAATAATAAAGATTTTAATACATTTATTTATTGAAAGTAAAAATGCTAGACTTCTTTGGCTTAAAACCTACATTCTGGCGTTTTAAAAAAGCGACGAGTTTGTGATATTTTTATAATATGTCAGTCTTTTCCCTAAATTCTAGCATTGTCCGTATCATGCTGTACGTAGCCCAAAAAGTAGATGGCTTTGTCTGCCTTGCCATGTCGCTAAAATATGCCATCAAGACTGTCTCCGAAGCAATATCCTTAGCATTTCTTTCGGCACACCATTTTTCGTATACTTTCAATGCTATTTCATATCGCCCCCTACTTTCCTCTGGAAGTAAACTGGCTTCTGCTCTTTTTGCATTAGCTTCTGTAAGTTCTGGTGGAATACCAATATGAAAGTAGTCTTCATTATCAGAACTTTCCGACAACATTCTGGCTTTCTATGTTATATAAATTCGAAAAAACGAACGAGAAACACTTAGTTGTTTGTTTTGCTGTTGAAGGTTTGCGCCATAACAACCACTGGTACCGGTAACTATAGATATGGAAATGCCACAACAGAAAACTACAAATTTTCGCATATTTATTTTTTTTCAAAATAAAATACTGTCCCTATTTTTTAGTTATTGATGTGGTTGTAAATAAAATAGTATAAAAACTTCGAAGAAAAGTTTTCATTATTGTCTCGAGATTTAGTTAATCTCTCGACACTAATGAAACACTTCTCCTTGGTATGTAATATACTATTAATTTAAAATATTTCATCATTTCCAGATCTCTGACCACTACCGAATTTGAAACAACCGGAATAATGCCAACCTATCTGGTAGCTTTCGTCGTATCTGAGTTCACCTGTACCCAGGCACCTAGCAATAACTTTGGAGGAGTACCATACGGTATCTGTTCGACGAGCGACACTGCCAACTTGAGACAGTTTGCTTTGGATATTGGACCATTACTTTTACAGAGTCTGAACACCTTTACCAACTACGCGTAAGTTTCTGATTAGCAAATGATTAAAACTGACTAAGTTTTAATCATCTGCTAATCTTAATCATCATGATGCTAACATGGTTAGCGAAACGCAGGTTTAATATTGTGTTCAAATAGTATTTGATCTTGCTATTGTAACGCAAAATGTTCCAATCACAACTGTATGATATCTATACAATTGCATGGTGCATGGCTAAACATGCGGTTTGTTAATGTCTATGCTTATTCGTTGTAAATTATTCAGTAATAAGTAATAAATTGTTATAAATAGAGTGAATAATAATCTAAGAATGCGGTCGTTCTCAGGGAAGTTTAATAAATTAATATCCATCACAGAATCATCTCTAAAACCATCGTCAGTGTGAGATAACAATTTATTAGGTCCTATATCTTTATGGCATATTGTATTTTTGACAAATATAACGATAAAATTTGGCAAGGTGATCGAAAAAATCTATTTTTAATCCTGCAATAATTGTCACCATTCATAAATACGTCCATTTTTGATAGTTTTATATTATGAGCTATGTAAAAATCAAAAAAGTTAAACGACATAAAAACGATTGAAGGGTTTGACGAATTTATCGTTTAATAATTTCTATTATTTATTATTATACTTTAAATCTTTCTGGAAATACCAGTTCTAAGAGATATACCGTGTGTTGCATCGCCGGCCTGGACATAGGAAATTCCATGTTAATTTTAAAAATGATGAACAAGTTTTCCCAATTTTTTTTACAGAAAAAAATATTTGAAACTTCACCCCAATACACCAAAACACTTTTACTTTTACACTGGACGAGCGTTTCGCTAACCATGTTAGCATCATCAGCAGATGATTATAAACTAAAGTACAATCTACAAGTTGAGCGTTTATATACTCGCTCAGTGGGCACCGAGTGGGCGTGGCAAAATCTAGCCAACCAAGTCAGAGCCTACTGAGCGTAACAGTTAGATTTCCGCCACTAGAGTAGTAGGAACAAAGAACTTGAAGGAATTGGACCGTTGACTCTGTTCATACTATCTTTACATTTATTAATTATGATGCTTTCATATGCATCTAATTGCCTGTAATTTGAGACTTGTTTAATTAATTTTAAATTATTAAGATCTATACAATGTTCATTATCAACAATATGTTCGGCAACGCAAGATTTATCCGGTCTACCATATCTTATCTGAGCTAAATGTTCTTTAAATCTAGTTAATATTGATCTCCTAGTTTGCCCAACATATTTCTGATTACAATCTTTACAAGAAATTTCATAAATACCCGACCTTTCCAGTGGAGGTGTTTTATCCTTTGGATTACCTAATAATTGTTATAATTTATTATTAGCACTATACACAAGTTTATAATTGACATTCTTAAAAATTCCTTTTAGACCACGGGATAACTCTCTATCAAACGGTATTGAAAAAAATTTAGACGTATCTTTCTCCACTTGAAAAGTCGAATTTTCAGAAATCATTAACCTATACCTACGTTTTCTAATTAATTTATCAACTAGTGAAGGAGAATAATCATTACACTCAGCTACATTCCTAACATAATCTCTTTCTATTTCATATCTTTCGTTGGAAAGTGGGAAACTAAGTAATCTATGAACTAAGAAATTTAAACTAGCCATTTTATGTTCAACACTATGATGTGGCTCATTAGGAATATATTTGCGTGTGGTGGTATTTTTCCTATAGATATCAAATTCCAGGCAATTATTAGTATTTCTAATAACTAATACATCTAGAAATGGTAATCTGTCGTTGCTCTCAATTTCATGCGTAAATTTAATGGAAGGAAAACGATTATTTAACTTTTTATCCTTTATAACCATATCCAATAAATTTATTAAATTAATAAAATTAATATGATTATTGCAAATAAGACATGATGTTTTTGTTTTTAGATATGGAAGTATGGGATTCCCAAAATTGGACCAAGTAGCCATTCCAGATTTTGCAGCGGGTGCCATGGAAAACTGGGGTTTGGTAACATACAGGCAAGTCACAAATTAGTTTTAAATAAATTAATAATACAGCTTAGGTTACTAGCAGAGATATAAACAATTTTACCAAAGTACACCAAAACGTATTATGACAAAAATGATAAAAAATAAGTCACCACTAATAATTTTCTTTCAATGATATTCTAAAGTTTAAAATAACGTATCTTGGTGCTTTTTAGGGTTCGTACCCAAAGCACAAATTACCTATAACAGATGCGAAAGAAAGCGACTGCTCGGAAACCGCTCGGCAAACCCGACACGCCTATTGAGTGGTGTAAATACACCAGTCGTTTAGTCCGGAAACCTATGCTGTATCGTATTCGCTTGCTGGAATGACATAGTGCGTGGTTATATGTTTCTTTTTAAAAACGCGTGTAGGATTTTTGTTGAACTTTTAAACTGTTATTTCTAAGTTTTGGTAATTTGTATATCTTTTTTAAAATGGGATGTGTTTATTTATAAGGAAAAAAAAGATATTTATAGTATAAAAAATTAATTTATTTAACAAAATTTAATTAAAAATGTGACAAAATAGTTACCTTTCTATTGGTTCTATCGGACTTTTTTCGACTATATAAATCTTTATTTGTAAACTTTAATACATCAAATATTTTTAATTTAATAAATCATTTAATGATGTAAATAAGAGGAAATTTCTCACATGGGTGGTCAAATTTTATAGTTTTCATTATATCAAACAGCCTCTGAGAAATGTTTTCAATTCAAAATGCCTTTAATTATGTTTGACTACATCATTAAAAAGGGTCTTCAAATACATCAATGTGATATTTGTCTAAAATTTGCAAAAGAATCCGAATCTCTGGATAACTCGAAATTATTTACCCATTTAAAAGCCTTTGATCATGAAAGTGGAAAAATTTGTTCATTTTATTTACAGGCTGGAAAAATTATTTATATTAAATTTTGATGAATTTTGCACTGAAGAAAACATTCAGAGGTTGTTTGATATAATGAAAACTATAGAATTTGACCACCCATGTGAGAAATTTCCTCTTATTTACACCATTAAATTATTTATTAGATTGAAAATATTTTATGCATTAAAGTTTACAAAAAATAAAGATTTATATAGTCGAAAAAAGTCCGATAGAACCAATAGAAATGTAACTATTTTGTCACATCTTTAATTAAATTTTGTTAAATAAATTAATTTTTTATACTATAAATATCTTTTTTTTTCCTAATCTCCTACGAGCTGATATAATATGACGAGCAATCTATTAAATTACTGTGAGATTATACAGAAAAGTCCACAGACTTCGAGACATAGGAAAATCAAGTCCATTTAGCGTGTGTCCAAATTTTGACAAGTTTTCAAAAATGACAGTTTTGTTTAGACTGACGTTTAATTTCACCTGACTTCTCGGTGAATGATTTCTTTTTATGGGGGTACATAAAATCTAAAATTTACGGCCATGAAGAAATTCAAAACTTGGAGCAGTTAAGGCAGAAAATATTTAATGCCTTTGACACTGTCACCCCTGATATGTTATCCAATGTGAGGAGGGGATTTTATGATCGTTTGGGTTATTGTTTAATGCAAGAGGGAGGCACTTTTGAACAATTTTTGTAATTTTTTAAATTTCATTATCCTGTTTTTTTACCGTTTACCCATTACCTACCTTGACGAACATGGGAAAACGAAGGTCCTTTTCAGGACCACAAATATTTTGATTGAGAAAATTGGTAACTTTTTTTTGGATTAAAAAACAAAAGTTGTTAATATAATACCAATTTAAAAGTGTTTTAGTAGTTTTAATACACACTATGATATAAAATTTATTATTATTATAATGTACATTATTAATACTATTGTTCATTCGAAATGGCATTAAGGCCCAATTGCAACAATGATTTAAATTTTTCTTAAAGATAAGTAGAGCTTAGAATTAGCTGTACTTATATTTACTTTAATATTCACCTTAAATGAGGAATTTGACTGATACAATTTTTGAATTTGAATTGTTTTTAATGATACTAACAATTTTAGTTTAATTTTTAATAAAATTTATTTAATATTAATAGAAATCCAAGAGATTTGAAACCTCTTTTAGCGATTTATAACATTCTCAAATGAATTACAGGTGCCCTTATTTTCTATGAAAATCACACAGCTTTTTTCATAGTCGCTGCAGTTGCAATAGCTATAAAAACTAATTTTTGAAGGTGTGAAAATTGCGACACACGCTAAATGGACTTGATTTTTCGTATGTCTCGAAGTCTGTGGACCTTTTTGTATGCCTCGATAACATATTGGTGCAGATTATTTTCACCCAAACAAATAATAACCCAAACTATACATTGATGCGGATTGTCTATGAACTCTTTCTGAAGATCACAGAAACCTGAACGCGTAATTCGGTGTTTTTTCGCATCTGTTATACGTAATTTGTGCCCAAAGGGTAGAAACGAGAACCCTATTACTAAGACTTCGCTGTCCGTCCGTCCGTCTGTCACAAAGGTCTATTTTATGAACCGTTATAGCTAGACAGTTGAATTTTTTACAGTTAATGTATCTATGTTGCCGCTATAAGAACAAATACTAAAAACAGAATTAAATAAATGTTTATAAATAAAAAAGTACTTTCACTAAACATTATCTTTTAAGTAAGAATTTTACATAGAATCTTTCAAGTCCATGGTGGCCGCGTGGTTAAAGCTTTAGGACTTTACGCTGCTATGACGTTAGAATCGTAGTAAGGCAGGTTTGAATCCTAGTCAAGGCAACTTTTTTTAATCTTTTTTTTATTTTTACATATTTATTTTTACTTTTTACATATTTATTATTGATTAATACAATTTTTAGTAATGTGTTTCTTCATTTTTTTTTAAATTACTTATACGCGCATTCAAAATTTCAGTTACATCGGAAAAAAAATTATAATAATATAATGTCTAAAGTTGTATAGATAATGAATGGTACGGAACCCTTCGTGCGCGAGTCCGACTTGCACTTGACCAATTCTTTCTTTTCTCTATGTTAATAATTATGCTTTGTAATTAAAATTTTGCATTTTCAGGGAACGGTTTTTGCTTTACGATGATGATCTTTCCACCAACGCCGACCAACAGAACATTGCCACTATCATATCCCACGAATTCGCCCATATGTGGTTCGGAAACTTGGTCACCATGGAATGGTGGTCTGAGCTTTTCTTAAACGAAGGCTTCGCCACTTATTTTGAGTTCTTCACCACCCATGATGTAAGATTTATTTATTTAACGTTATAAATATAGCTCTAATTACTCAATGTTCTTTACAGGTACTGCCTTCGTGGGAACTGGACAAACAATTTGTTACCAGAACCCTGCAAAGAGTTTTGGAAACTGACTCGCTGGCTTCGTCTCAAGCTTTACAAGCACCAGCTAATACCGATGCTCAAGTTATGACCCGATTCAATCAGATCTCCTATTTGAAAGGTACGTAAAGGAATATCCAGAAACAACTATACATAACAAGTATATATTGTTATTTTGTATAGGAGGAAGCGTTCTTAGAATGGTTGAACACATAATTGGTACAAACAACTTCAAAGCAGGTCTTGCAAACTATCTAGAAGCATAGTAAGTCACCTCTTTCCTGTCTCCTATTTTATATGGTACATTTTTACAATTTACATTTCAGTGCATTCCAAAACACATTACCTGAAGACCTATGGACGTACTTGGATGCAACGTTAACTGGCGAGGAAAGAGCTAGATTGCCACAAGGTACTACATTAGGACAAGTGATTGAGAACTGGATAACAAAGCCTGGATATCCTTTGATTGACGTCAGGTGGACTAGCCCAGCATTTGTTATAAGTCAAAGGGTGTGTAATAGTTGAATTCTTAGTATAGGAAAATTAACACAAGTTGGAGTGTTGAAAACATTTTTATTTATTCGAAATATAACTTGGTAAAAGTTTCTTATTCTTAAGTTTTTGATTTCTCTATATGAATGTATACTTCTTCTTCTTATCACGCCCTCTACTGCCGAAGGTTGGCGATCCAAATGGCAACTGTGGCTCTGGAAACTGCAGCCCGGAAGATTTCCGCAGACGAGCGTTCAAACCATCTCCTTAAATCTTTTAGCTATGAGTTCTGGCGTCTTCCTACTGATCTTTTCCCTTGCACTTTGCCCTCTATTATGAGGCGCAGTATTTCGTACTTTTTATTTATTTCGCACCTCTCATCACATGACCCAGGTATTGCATTTGTCTTTCCTTGATGGTGTTCAGTGTCTCTTTTTGTTTCTGCATGCGCTGGTTGGTGATCCTTTCTACCCATTAGATTCGCAGCATCCGTCTGTACACATACATTTCGAAGACTTCTATTCTCTTTTCGGTCTGTGCATCCAGTGTCCAGCGCTCACATCCATAGAGTAACACAGAGAAGACGTAGCATCTGGCCATTCGAGTTCTGAGTTCCGCACTGAGGTCTCGTCTTGTAAAAAATGGTTTCATACTCACGAAGATTTTTCTCGCTTGCTCAATTCTTGAAAATATTTCTCTTTTCGGGTCGCACTGACTATTGATGTTAGCTCCTAAATACTTTATTGAGGTCACTTGTTCGATTGTTTGTCCCTTGATACGCATATGTGCATTTATTGGAGTCTTAGAAAAGACCAATAGTTTGGTCTTGGAGACATTGAGATGCAGTCCAAACATCTCACTATAGTGGACTACGGAATCTATAATGCTTTGCAGTTCTTGTATATCGTTGACTATTATAACCGTATCATCGGCATATCTGATATTGTTTATTGGGATTCCATTGAACTTGATTCCGCCCTGAATTCGATGCAGTTCTCTAAATATAGTCTACAAGTACAGGTTAAACAGGAGCGGAGACAAGACGCAACCCGTCTGATTTGTATATCTTCCGATGTTGACTGTTTATCTCAACTACCGCCGTTTGATGCCAATAAAGTTCTGATATGAAACGTAGGTCTTGTTCATCAACTCCGGTTGTTCTTACACAGTCGAACGCCTTACGATAGTCTATGAAGCATGCAAATACATTCACATTCATGTCTCTACACCTCTGTGTCATTACATTTAGGAAGAAGAGTGCTTCACGCGTTCCGAGTCCGTTTCTGAAGCTAAACTGGGTGTTGTCCATCTGATTTTCACACTTCTTGTAGATTCGCGTGTGAATGATTCTAAGAACGGTTTTGAGGACATGGGACATAAGACTTATCATCCGATAGTCACATTGTGAGGCGTTGGGTTTCTTTGGAAGGGTTATTCAAAATTAATAGGGTTAATTATAAATGTATACTTACATACTTACATATTTAATTCTAGGGACGATTTTTACTTGATGGAACTACAACCAACGACACATGGTATGTTCCTATAACTTATACCACAACTCTTACAGGAAGCTTCGAGAACACTACTGCCAGTGAATGGTTGGAACCAATTGGATTTCTTGAAATACAGCAGACTAGCTCCAGTTGGATTATTCTTAACAATCAAGTTACAGGTATACCATACTACTTTGTTCTTTGTAACGCGTTTCTCTCTCAAGCTTACCATATGTCTAAAATTTTTGATCAAAGTGATTTTTGGATATTTTGTACAGGGTGGTCGAAATTGGTCTGTTTTAACCTGACTAAATCTTTCCTTTCCTGACTAAATAGAGCAAAACTGACATAGATGTCATGAGCTCGGTTTCTGAGACACTTTTAATGGCGTAAACCGCCTGTTGATATTTTCACTGCCAACTGAGATACGGGGTGTTTTTGAATTTTTTACCATTTGGAAAATTGCCCATAACTTTTTTATTTCGCGGAATAATAAAATTCTGTAAAAAAATTCTTAAGTCAATTTTTTAAGCACAATCCAGTGGTGTAGTCAGTTTTTTCCTATGTTTGCTCTTTTTATCAGAAATTATGAAAAATATATTTTTTTTAATGGAAATCATAGTTGGCTATGAACTTAAAAAATGCTGGTGTTTAACACTTTCCAACGATATAAAGTTATGGGTATCTATTTCGAATAATAAAAGAAATATTAGGTTTTTTATCTTTATAACGAAGCGGGCTTTGGTTTTGTGTTGACCTATTTTCCTAATATCTCATAATCTGCATAATTAAAGCCTTTTTAAAAGGTAAATTAACATTCTATATTAGTATTAGTAATTACAAATGAAATCGATACAATAAATAAAGAACAAAATTAAAAACATCGTATTTTTAAGTGATTAATATAGTTTTATAAAAAAAAATCCTCAAAGATGTTCAAACTGTGCACCTCCTTGTTGAATACACAATCAACATTTTTTACGCACAGAGTTACAACGATTTATTTGGCAAACTGGTGTAATATGTCCAAAACCTTGCCTAGTAGCCTTCTGTAATTCTTCTCTCGTCCCAATGGTTGATCCCTTATATATAACGTCTTTTAATTTCCCCCATAAAAAAAAGTCAAAAGGAGTTAAATCACGGGACCTAGCAGGCCAAGATATGGGACCCCTTGTTCCAATCCAATTCCAATCCAATTTATACCTGGGTTCATAACCATGAAGCTATTATCGTTTGTCGGTGAAACGTTGATGACGTTTCGGCATCATTTTTAGATGCAGCGACACTACATCATAATTTCGGTTGAAAAAAATCAGTTCGATGATCAATTTTTCAGGTTTCTACAGAGTCAACTACAATAATCGCTGGGAAAGTATAGCAGAAGCTTTGGCCGTAGCAGGCCAATCGAACATTCCCGAGGTCAACCGAGCCTCAATTGTGGATGACGTCTTCCATTTGGCCAGAGCTGACATACTAACCTACGACAGAATACTGACATTGGTCGATTTCTTGTCTATCGAAACGTCTCATCACGTTTGGGTACCCGCTATCAACGGCTTCAACTTTTTGTTAAGACGTGTCGGAGAAAATACAGCTATTGGAAGAGAAATTGGGGTAAGAGATGTTAAAAATGTTTCTCTAGAAGGACTAGTTAAATAATTTAAGAAACTTCTTATTCTCCTATCATTCTAGTCGTTAGAATAAACACCAAGGAACTAAGGGCAGTATTGTTAGAAATTTTTGAGCGATTTTCTTCAATGGAGCTTTAAAAAACCTTCATATTCTTTGAACTTGATAAACAATTCCAGATCTTGTAAAAATCATCAAATTTCATGTATTTTACCTATTTTATAACTAAGAAAATTTTTTTAAAAACGTATTTCTGGTAATTTTTGGATACCGATGTATTTATTTTTTTTTCCGTTTACCTATTTATTTCTTTTCAACATCAAGAACTTTTGTTTAGTTATGGTATGTGTGTAATAAGATAAAATGAAAGATAAAAATGTATCTATTAATTTTTTGTTAAATGTTAAAATCTTTCGAATTGCGGCCTTTTTGACAGCTATATTGCTTTAAACTGAGGCATCCTTATTTAAACACCGTTAAAGTGAAAAGATAGATCTAGGAAAAACAATAAATACTCCTACTACATATTTTAACAATTTTTATTGTGCGAAACTGCCAGAAACCTTCATATTGTCTTCTTTTTTGGATAAAAATCCTTCAGCCTTTCAATCGACGAAATTTGACTGTAAAATCCTTCATATTGAAGAAAATACTTCAATTCTGGCAACACTGATGGATATAAACTTCTTCCTGTATGTCCAAAAATTTTTGCCTCAAAAAAAATCGGAGCCAGTTATCTCGCCGAGCATTTTTTTGTGTTTTTGCGAGAAACTGGTGTTTTTCAAAAAGAACTAATGGAAGAAATATAAAATTATTTATTTATCTTCATTCATGATATAGTAAATTGAAATCTAATTAATTTTAATATTATTTAGAACCATTTCTTGCAATTGCTGACCAATGTGTACAGCACTGTTCCATGGACTAGAGCCGACAGCAACGATCACGCTTACAGTTTGAAACAAAACGATATTTTGGCCATAGCATGCCGTCTAGGATTATCCAACTGCGTGAACCACGCTCTGGAACGCTTTGGAGAGTACCGATTGACTTTTACTTTGTAAGTTTAAACGTATAAACATATTATTGTGTAAATGTCACCTATTATGCCGTGTCCAGACCAAGGCGACAGAAAGTAAACACGATTTTGAGACAGAAACAAGACAAACCTGCGACAAAAATGAGAAATTCAGACAAAACAAATTTGAAACAAAGTGTCTATACCGCGAGGACAAAAGTACAACAGAGTTCAGTATATATGCAAATCAGTTTTATTAATCATATCGCCTGTCCACCAGAAAGAAGATAAAAATATATCACTAGCAACCAGTAGTGTTGTTCTCTTTGACTCGCCATCCCATGTTGCAAAAAGATACCCCAAATAATGTTTTTGTTTTTATTTCTATTGTAGATTATATAGCTATTAATATTTCTTATTTTTTTCTTAACATCATCAACCGAGTTTATATTTAATGCTATATAAAAAAATCTCCTCTAATGCACCAGCTTTCTTGTAACAATTTTTGTAGTCCTTGTTTTTACCCTCCCATAGTAATAAATGAGCTCTATAAGGCTCTACTAGTTTGCAAGCATTTTCCGTGTTCCACTTTCTCTCTTCTGACTTTTTTTTATAAAGATGGAGCACTCCACTATATACTAACGACATATTAGCAGTACCAGCCCTCCACAATACTAAATTTGTGTGATTTCATTAGTTACCTACTTTTGGCAACTCAAGACACTAAAATACACGACAACACAGAGACTCTTTCAACTTTACTGACTCGAGACGGGACATTCAAAAGTCTCCGAATTTGGAAGCAAAACAAAAATGAGACAAAAATGACACAGAAATGTATTAGATTTGTCGCTACTTTGTCGTAAAACATTAATGTTTCTGTCTTGCCGCTGTTTTGTCTGCTAGGTCTGGACCCGGCTTTAGTTTCGTATAGACCATGCAGACGGAAGATAACAAGATTGCCTTTAGAAAAGTCACTTACTTTATAAAAATAATAATGTTGATTATCCAAAAAAATACAACAGAACAATGAACTTTAATAGTTTTATTTTTTCTTAGGCCAGAAAAAAATCTGAGGACCATCGTTTTCTGTAACGCTCTGCGGTACAGTCCATCCTCAACGAATTTCAATTTGGTCTGGAACAGATACCAGAGTTCCAGGGACTCTGGAGAACAAGTGAATCTGTTGAACGCACTAGGATGCGTCAACGATGAGAGTTTACAACAACAGTGAGTAATATTTTTTAACAGAGGTGTTTTTAGTATAGGCTTGGTGCGTTTCAACCGATTTTTTTTTAAAAGGAGGGTATATAAACTTGCGTGCATAGAAATCGGCCCACTGTAAACTTTTGACTTTAACTGTGTCTTTTAGAATCTATTTATCAGACCAAGAAAAACATATGAGCTGTTTCAAAGACAATTTAACATGCTTTAATATGAGTATAAATTTATCCAAAGTACTTATCGTTTATATGCGTAGCAACGGGTAAACAAATGAAAGGCATTTGTGTTGTGGTGACAATACGAATAAAAAAAACTTATCAAATACTGCAATTACTACTTTACTGTTACTTTGTAATCGAAATTTGCACATTGTTCTTTCATTGTTTGATTTGTTGTGTTTCATTGTTTGATTAGTGTTTCAAATTAATGCATACATCACGGAAAAAAAGCTGCCAAAGTAATCGCTTTAATTGAAAATGGACTTAAACAGAGAGCTGTAGCTCGGCAACTGCATATGACACGCGGAGCGGTTCGAAGAGTGTGTGAACGATATAAGGAGACTCGATCCTTTCGTAGGCGGCCTGGAACTGGTGGAAAGAGATATACAACGGATCGTGATGACCGCTTTATTGTGTCAACCGCTTTATTCGGGTGCGATGACCGCTTTATTCAGGTGCAACAACAGCTCCGTGAAACAGGAGGAGTGACTGTTAGTCAGAGGACAGTAAGACGAAGATTGAAGGAAAGTAACATGACCCCCAAAACACCCGCAATTGGTCCAAAACTTACACCAGCTCATCCTCAAACACGCCTGCCTTTTGCACGGAACATCTGAATTGGCCACTAGAGCAATGGGAATGTGTTTTAGTCTCAGATGAGACCAGGATATGCCTCTATGGTAGCGACCGAAGAAGAAAAGTGCTCCAGAGGCCATTCGCAGAATGCTGCATCGAGGAGCGGATTGCTTATGGAGGTGGTTTCTGCATGATGTGGTGTACAATTTCTATGACTGCGCGAATCGACCCAGTTTTTATCCGTTGGGACGACCGTCGACACGGGAGAGGAGGTTTAACTGGTGCTAGGTATATTGAGGAGATTTTAGCAGTTCATGTGGTACCTTACGTCGACTACATTGGAAGCGAATTCACTTTTATGCATGACAATGCGAGAGCACACACATCAAGAATCGTTCACGATTACATTTCAGAAGTCGGTATTCGGGTTATGGAATGGCCAGCATGCAGTCCAGACTTAAACACGATAGAACATTTATGGGATGAGCTAAAACGAAGGATTCGTACTAGACAAAGAGCCCCAACCTCTATCCCAGAGCTCATTGTTGCAGTATAAGAAGAGTGGCTTAACATACCGCAAGCAACAATATCAAACTTGATTGAATCTATGCCAAACTGTATGAGAGATGTTGTAAGAGCAAGAGGGGGTCATACCCATTATTGAAAATGTGTTTTAGTTAATTGTCAATCAATAAATAAATAATGGCATACATCTTAGTAATAAAAAACGATAATTTATTTCATGCATTAATTTAATAATATTATTCCAAAGAAACCGAAATACAAATTAATATCTCTAAACTCTTTTCAAGGAATATAAAATTGTCTTTCAAACAGTATATTTTTTCTTAATCTGACAAATATTTTCTAAAAAATATATAGTTAACTTCAAAAGTTTGCCTTGGGCCGATTTCTATGCACGCAAGTGTATAATCGTGTGGTTGTTGGGTGCAATAACATCAACATAATATGAATTGATTGTAATAATTGTATTTTGATTGCAGATATTTAGGATATTCAATCAATGCCAATTCTGGAATTAGACCACAGGATGCCATCACAGTATTTACTAGCGTCTACAACGGAAATCCAAGTGGAATTGACGTTGCTTTCAGATTTTTGCAACAAAATTACTTGCAGATTGCTGAAAGGTAAGCACTGAAATCATTTATTTTTTTAGCAAACTGATATTTTTAGAACTTATCGATTGATTATTAAGATTACGTAACTAGATCATTAACTATTTCATATTTAAAGGTATATTATGTCACTATACACTTGTCTGATACACTGTATATCTATAAGTAATAGATATTTTTATCAGGGAGTTCTTAGAACACAAGATTAATATTAGATTAGTTTTATTGCTAATTCAATTTTTAATTCTTTTGATTTCAATAAAAAATGCATTATTTAGCACTTTAAACTCGAAATAGTGCATCCTTAAAAAGATAATATTGTTCAAATAAACAACATTTTTCTTTTGATTAACATAACTATACTATATAAATAATAATAATAATAGATACAAATTACCTCATAGTTATTTTAATTAAATCTATTTTATTAACTAATGTACCAGTTAAATTTAGCATATATTTTTGAAAAAAAGACTTTTTTTTTCAAACGTCACAGAAGTACATATTAATTTTTGCGACGTGACTGACAATATAAGAAAGTCATTTTAACGCCTAGGCATAAAAATTAAGCACTTTAGGCCTAAGCACAAAAGTACGAAAATATACAGGGTGAGTTTCCTACGATGTTCTCTATGGGTATCTCGGAAACTACTGGAGATAGAGAGTCGGTTAAATGGGGAAAGAATTGCAGTTTTGTGAGGTCATAAATATGCTCCTTTCAAATTTTTGAAAAAGTTCATGGCTTACTAGATATTTCGAAAAAAACAAATTTCGGCTATTTTAAAAATTGTCCCTAATTCCATTATAAGCTATTTTAGACAAAAAGTTTTCAGATAAAAGTTGTAGATAATCACATCCTTAATGAGACTGTGTCCTCCGTTTTCTTCTAAAGCCTGTCATTGTTGACATATGACACAAACATATGTTTTTTTAAATGAAAAGCATAGTTGGCCATGACTTCATAAAAAGCGCCATTTTTTAAGCTTTTCAGCGATATAAACTATAATATGTTTTCTTCGAAAAATTACTGAGTTATAGCCAATTCTTATTATTTTTAAATAATTTCACTTAATTAGTCATGGAAACAACTTCAATCGCCGTTGCTCTCAGAAATGTGAAGCTGTCACATCCAAACTTTGTAAATTAAAATAAACAAAAATTGTAAATATGAATTTTTCAAATGAAGAAAAGCGTGTAGATACTCGCGCATCAATAGAGTGGTTCTTGCATGACTTACATTATGACTCCCCCCATAATGAAAGAAATGTTAAAAATTATTTATATCATAATTATGCAAACTCAGGGATAGGAAGAGGTGGACCAATTGCATGGGCCTCCTTGATCATCTGACCTATCCATTTTAGAATTTTTTATGCGGTACGGTTAACAATAAAGTTTACAAAAGAACTTATGAATTAAGAGAGGCACTCGAATTGGCGGTACGAGAGAATTTTAATTAAGTCGACCGGTCCTTCTGTGAGAATAGGTAGTAATTCAGTTTTAAAAAGATGCAACTCAAAACTCAAAAAAAAGTGATATTATTTTTTTAAGTTTTAGTTTGTGTAATGTACATGTACATGTAAGGAACCGTTTAGTAATCTGACTTTTTTTAAGTTATACATCATAACAGAATAAGAATACCATGCAATCTAATTGAAATTAGTCAAAATAAGAATTGGCAATAACTACATTTAACTTTTCTAACATGTCTTTAAAACCGTTCTCTAAGAAAAGTAACATTCACCGGTCAACGTATCCTCGAAAATGTATGATCAAAAAAAGTTGAACCAATAATCCTACACGCTTTTCTTCATTTGAAAAATTCATATTTACAATTTTTGCTTATTTTAATTTACAAAGTTTGGATGTGACAGCTTCACATTTCTGAGAGCAAAGGCGATTAAACTTGTTTCCATGGCTAACTAAGTGAAATTGTTTAAAAATGATAAGAATTGGCTATAACTCAGTAATTTTTCGAAGAAAACATATTATAGCTTATATCGCTGAAAAGCTTAAAAAATGGCGCTTTTTATGAAGTCATGGCCAACTATGCTTTTCATTTAAAAAAACATATGTTTGTGTCATATGTCAAAAATGACAGGCTTTAGAAGAAAACGGAGGACACAGTCTCATTAAGGATGTGATTATCTACAACTTTTATCTGAAAACTTTTTGTCTAAAATAGCTTATAATGGAATTAGGGGCAATTTTTAAAATTGCCGAAATTTGTTTTTTTCCAAATATCTAGTAAGCCATAGAAAGGCGCATATTTATGACCCCACAAAACTGCAATTCTTTCCCCATTTAACAGACTCTCTATCTCTAGTAGTTTCCGAGATACCCATAGAGAACATCGTAGGAAACTCACCCTGTATATTTGAAAGCGTTTCGAAATTGACAGTTTTTGATATTTATTTGAGATTCAAAATGGCATTCTTTTAGGCACTAGTACTTTAGTTATAGTCTATAAAATGAATAACTTTGAATTTTGACCGTTATTTTTTACCAACAGGGCAAATATAAAATCCCTCTATCAAAAAAGTTACTGATATTCTTTAAATTGAGTGCCTGAATGAATCAGATAGGTAACTCTTTTTACTGTCGTGAAATAGAAAAGGAAAATAATAAAACAAGTGACAGTTCTTCCTCTTTTTGCAAAAATCAACACGAAATGTCATAATTGACAAAAGTAAAATGTCATCAGCTTTTGACATTTCAAAATATTAGACCAATGCCGTCTCTAATAGAACAGCCTCGGAGCAAGATTTATGACGTCACGCTAGTTGATACTACGGATTAATAAATATGTTGGAGAATACATGGAAACATAATTATTTCTCGTATTTTTGGTTTGTATTTTTAAAATGATATAGTTTACTTAAAATATACATAATATACAGTTAATAAATACAATATAATATATACATATTTATAGTAATACATACTTTGGCAAATAAAACTATGAACCACACAAATGCAGCAAATGTTTTACAATATACAAATAATGAATAGGTGGTACATAAGATAATGGGTAAAATGCAAAATATATTTTAAATTTTGGGGTTCGAAAATCGATCTAATTTAACAAAAAACATTCAATATCTACTAATAGTGATGTACAATTTATTTATATATTATAATGTTTACTGCAATTAATAAACTAATATAAACTTGTCAAAAGAGGACCACATATTTTTTTAAATTATTATTCTTAACACAAAAACTATGTACATTGACTATAGAGTACGATTTCAGCCATATTGTAAAACATTTGCTGCATTTGTATGGTTCATAGTTTTATCTGCTAAAGTATTTATTACTATAAATAGGTATATATATTGTATTTATTAACTGTATATTATGTATATTTCATGTAAACTATATCATTTTTAAAATACAAACTAAAAATACGAGGAATAATTATGTTTTCCATGTATTCTACAACATATTTATTAATCTGTAGTATCTAACTAGCGTGACGTCATAAATCTCGCTCCGAGGCTGTTCTATTAGAGACGGCATTACGTCAGCATGGCCGCAAGTTGCTAACCTAATAAAATTAACACTATAAAAGCCCGCGGGAACTGTCAAATTCAAAGTTATTCGTTTTACAGACTATATTAGTGTCCTCTCTGCTAGTATTTAAAAGTGACACTTGTTTGGGCACTAGTGCCTAAAAGTAAAAAATAAAACGTTAGAAACAATGAAAATGTTTATTTATTATAAATCTTAAAGATGCAATTATTTAAATTATTAAAGTGAATATAAGAGTCATTCAACTTTTCGTCTCTAAGTGAAATGCAAGTTGTAGGAGTCGGAATAAGTAAATTTCTTGTACTGGCAATGCTGGCAGCTTCTGCTTTTACGTGAACTGCCTTTAATTTTTTATTTGACGTGTCTTTCTGTCCCATGATTCTTTTTGCTATTTCGGTTTTCTGTTCAATTGAATTTTCAATGTAACCTTCAGCAACCGAGCTTGATCGCCAACCTCCATGTCGCTTTAAAACTGTTATGTCCGCTCCTGAATCTGCCAGCATTGTGGCAGAGCTGCGCCGGAAAAAATGACCAGTGTATTCAATGGCGTTGGAGAGTCCAGTAAATTCCGCTATCTTTTTTGGCATACCTCCAATTGTATTGATTCCATCTGGCAGGATACAGCATTGATTTTTTCGATACGTCAAGAAAAATCGCTGATGTGTCACATTGAGTGGTCGAAGTTTTGTGTACTTAAGAAATACATGTAAGAAATTGATACCATCTATTGGTCCCTCAATAATCGTAACCAACTCAACTCAAACTCTTGGAAAATAAGTTTTTGTATTCGGAATCTTCACAGTTTTCACACTAATAAATGCCTGACAATCTTTAATGGCATCTACGGTCAAAAACTGATTTCTTCCCTCCTACATGCTTCAAATACTCCAACGATTAAGGACAACTCAAGTTTTTCGACTTCTCGGGCACTAACGTGGATAGCGCAGTTTCAGCAGCTTGTTGAATATCCAAAGAGACTCATCATTATCATTATTGTGGACAATTCTCTGAAATGGGACATATATATCGAAGCTTTGTCGAAAAAATTGAGCTCTGCCTGTTTTGCATTAAGGTCTGTTTCTAAGGAGCTTAACTTGTCAGTGGCTAGAACTGTTTATTATGCACTTTTTGAGTCGCACCTCAGGTATGCCCTTCCATTCTGGGGTACGTGTTGTGCGACTCAATTTGACCGCATTTTCAGGCTCCAGAAGAGAGCTGTTCGATATTCACTGGGACTAAACAGCAGAACTCATTGCCGAGACTTTTTAAAAATTAAAAATATTGACTCTTCCTTCCTTATTTATATTTGAATCCGTTTGCCTAATACGTAAACATGTATCAGCTTCTCAAGAAAGGCCATCTCACACTTATCCACTCAGGAACGCGGAGCAAGATCTTTATCTACGTACCCCACGCTCAGAGTTAGTTAAAAGTTCAATATTATACAACTCGAAAAATGCACAATCACCTGCCATTTGAAATCAAATCCATAACATCATTTTTTCATTTCGCAAAGCATTGAACTCTTATTTACTAGACAAGGCTTTCTACGCCGTAAATGAATTATATTTTGAAAATCAAATTTGATCTTGTAAACACTGGTATAATGTTTGCTATTGCTATATTTACTAATGACATCGAAAATGAATTTATTTAGAGGTCATTGATATTTTACTATAAACTATAGCTAAATATTTTGAATATTATTTTTATTTTTTGTTCTTTGACATTATAAACATTTATAAATGTTTATTTTAACAATAAGACTGACAATATTATTTGTATAATGTTTTGTATTATCTTTTGTTTGTTTGTTTGTGTACCTTGTTTTTTTACTTTGTTTGTTAGTTTACCTTTGTCTACAAATTGAAAAATTTTTTGACAATAAAAGCATTTATTTATCACTCATTTTTCACAAAACTTTGTAGAAAATACGGCGACGTTTAACCCTGACCGAACTTTATAATTAAACAATGCCTTAGAAACCGATTACCAGAACATTTTAAAAAATGTTTAAAAATAAATAATAATAATAATAGCATGAAAATCTCAAATTATCCGCTTTCACAAAAAAAAAATCTTGTGTTCTAAGCACGGGACGCAAAATTGTCCAACGAGGAAAAAGCCGAGTTGGACAATGCGTCGAAAATAAACACATTCATTCCGCAACTTGTTACATAAATAGCTATTTGCTAAGTCAAATTAAAATTTAACCATAAATATTTTTTTTGCAGGTATCAGAGTATGAATGCCTTATCTAACTTAATCACAGGTTTAGCTGAAAGGTTTACTACAACGGCTCAGATTGAAGAGGTTGGTTATCGATAATGATTCTCTTTCAAATATCTTTAAGTAATGTTAACGATTCTTTTCCAGCTAAGGACGTTCATCAATTCCAACAACTTAGAAGAAGATTTCCACAATGCGGCCACAGCAGCTCTGACAGCAGCAGAGAACAATTTGGCGTGGACTACTCAGTATTTACAAACGTTGCACGATTTCTACGGATTGGACATCAACGCTACCAGCACTACATCTACAACTACTACAACTACTACGACCTCGACTACAACTACAACCACAACAACAACTACTACTACTACTCCGGCTCCAACGACAGTAACTCCTCAACCCGGCGCTGCTAGTACTGCCTCATTGAGTTTCTTATTTATCTTATTATTACCCTTAATATTTTTATTTGTCAATCATTAGTATACTATATCTAAGATTAATATACTATTTTATTAATTTAAATGTTTTTCAGTTGTTTTATTTGTTTCAAAGTCAGTCCTGTTTTTTTTCAAAACAATAAAATTTCGTTGTTTTTAACTGTTATCTATTAAATATGAGATGAATTTATATTAAAAAATGAGAAAAAAATGCAAGAGTCTTGCAAGCTTGGTTTTGGACTTGCCTAAAGCCGGGTCTCCACCAAAGCAACATATGTCGACGACATTGTCATCAACTTTTGTTACTATTTGAGCTGACTTTGAATCATTGCTCCAAATGAGTGGTCCCAGGATTTGTATCATTCCAGGCATCATACTTTCTATTTCTGTTCTTATACCAAGTATGCTTAGTGTCCTTAAGTTTGTGGTGGGCTAGATAATTTTCAATCAGATTTCTTGTTTTATCATTGCTCCACTCCATACCAAATTTATTTTTAGCAACAGAATCAAAAACAGACTTCTGGCCTTGTGAACTAAATGAGTACAAATGGCAAAATATACCCGATAAAGTTACTGACAGGAGTTGATTCGAGACGTCTTTCGACATGTTTGTAAACATTGTAGTCGACACGATTTTTCTGTGATGTACCGCTCCTCAAGCGAAACATGAAACAAAGTCGGCGACTTAACCTGCGACATAAAATGTCGACGACTTTACTGAATTTTCAGCAACATTGTCGACAACACTAGTCGGCGACACAGTCGCCGGCAAATGTTGCTTTGGTGGAGACCCGGCTTAAGTCTTGTCCTGGTCGGTCTTGGTGTTGCAGATCTAACGCTAATCTTGGTCTTGGACTACTCTGATCAGTAATCTTGGCTACAGGGTCCAATTCTGTCAGATGGTTGGTTTAGTTTGGTTTGGTTTCGACTTGGAATCTATTAGAGGCCTAAACTTTGATTGCATTTGATACACTTTATACGTATATAATGGATATAAACTTTAATTGCACCGAATTTTTAATAAATAATAATTAAACATAAAATTTAAAAAACATCAGATTGATATCCCATCTCATATTGTCCATCGTCATTGTATTTATTTATGCTGTAAGTGTGTCTAAGTTTCTTTTATTTCCTTTTCCAAGTCTATCATTATTTTTTAACAACAGTAGTTTTTCAGACGTGTATTTCTAATAGAATTTATGACAATTTTTACAATAACTTAGCATTATAAATAGTACATTGCGGAAATTTTAATAATGGTGTTATTACTTTTAATGTTTTTTATTGTGAATTTTGAGAAACATGGCTTTGCAAAACTTTGTTAAAAATTATATATTCAAATAAAACTATATTAGTAATTTCATCTTTTGGAAACCCAAGGCATTATACCTTTTAAATTGTATAATTGCACACACTTATAATCACTTCATAGTTTAAACACCTCTTTTTACAGATTTATAACTTTTTACACCCTTCTATTATCGATTATAATTACCACTTACCACGTCCGCACACCTACCGATAAATCGATGACTGTCAACTGCGGTAATACCACTTCGCTACGTGCTACGACAGGGGCCGCCGCGCGGCGCCGTCGCGCGTCGCCCCGGTGTAGGGGGCGTAAAATATCGATAAAATACATAATATATACTATAAAAAATATCTATTTTTTTTATTGTTTTTTTCTCATATTATACACTATTGTGAACTTAAAATATTCTTTTATTAAATTTGATTGATAAAAAGTGAGAGATAAACATTTATTGACTGGTATGATTTTTTCCGTATTCTATTAAAACTATTTTTATATACTATAATATTTTTAAAAACTCGGAAAAAGACAGTTTAAAACTTCGAAATCTATCTGGTGAGTGAAAAAAGATCCACAATTTGAACTTTTATCGGGTAATTTTCAACGCTGCTAAGTAAAGTTGCGCCTCCAGTTGGTGACGTCTTCAGATTTTTACGTCACAGCTGTGCGGCCTTGTTATTACGGTGGTTACGGTCTATTACGCTGTACTGTTCGGGTCGCTCTCAGTGTTGTATATATATCACTGTAATCACAAAACTTCAATCTATTTCCGTATTGTAACGAAATTTTAAATTATGTCTATATTTTCGAGAAAACTTAGTCCAAACATAAGGAATATTTCGTTGATGTTTGACCATCAAAATCTTAAAAATAAAGAAGTTGTCTAAAAATATGTCCACAATACGGATATAGTATAATCCTTTAACTTTCATTTCCTTCTTCGTTTGTGTAAAAATACCTAGCCAGTTTTACATAAAACGTTAAATGCCGAACGCTTATTTTGCTACTTTTTTCGTACTAATGAAATGGAGAAGACCTCTTAAGACCTCACACTCAGGCCAAACTTCAAGTGATTTTTATCAGGTTTTCAGGAGAATATTATTTATCCGCTAACATGTCTTGGAAGTCATTACAGTTTTTTTTATCAAAAACAAAATAAAATTAATAATATATTGATAACTTAATCTAAAGTATATCCTGAAAAAATTCTAGCAAAACACAAAAAATTTTGTTTCTGTATTATCATATCAAAGATCACAACTTCCTAGAAATATTTTTCCTGCAAATATATCCTTGAAATATTTTTTTTTCATTAAACAAATCAAAATTATAACATTGCAATTTACTACAGTATTATATGTAAATTGATATTACGCATGGCAATGATTTACTAGATGTTTTTTCTTTAAAAATACTTCAGATTTCATTACTTTGGAATGAAAATTCACTCTTCTCAATATTTATTTTATTGGCAATAATTCAAAGAATATTCATTAAACATATACTTAATAATAATTAACTTATTTTTATAGATTTATCACATTTTCTGTTATTATCAGAACCAATAAAACAAATAATTCAATTCTTTGTATTTTAATATTGTATTGTGAGTAAGTTTTCTGATCTAGGAATATTTGGCACTAAATATTTTTCTGTCTAATCCTCCAAAAATATCGATAATTATCACCTCTGAGTCATCGAAATAATGAAGAAAATGTCTCGTTAAGTAAGACAATAAAGAGAAGATCTACAAAATAGCTAGGCCTATTGAAAAACTGACATAAATTTACATTTATTCATTTTGACGCTTTCATTTGCTTCTAATTGCCTGCAATTTCAGATTTGTTTGATTAATTTTAAATTATTAAAATCTATACAATGATCTTTATCAACAATATGTTGAGCATTACAAGATTTATCTGGTCTATAGGTTATATTAGAATATTTATTTGATTTGAAAAAAAAGGTGAGAAAATGGTTGAATTCCTTCGGTGTTATTCCGTGTCCAGGTATAATTACCAAAGTGCAAGGCAAATACTACTTAGAGGTTTGGATAGTGAAAAAGTTTTTATAAATTCTCTAGAACAAGATGCGTTAAATTTATATCACACATTTTTAAAGACTCCTAAGAAAATGAACACTCTAACAGAATTAGAACAAATTACACTGACTGCAAGTCTAAGACCAAACCAAGATTTTTCTTTTGCATTTGTTTTTCCTTTAAAAACTCTGATTTTCTCTAATAATTCATTCAATTGTCTCCATAGAACAGTTTACAGACCTGTATACGAAATAATGCCGGGTCCAGACCAAGGCGACAAAAAGAAAACACGATTTTGAGACAAAAACAAGACAAATAAAAGAGACAAAATGAGACAAAAATGTCGCAGAAAGGTACTTACGTTGTTTTTTCTGCTTCGTCTGGACCCGGCATAACAAATCGTTTGGAAATGGCCAAAATCAAGAATCCAAGTGAAGAATCAGGCTAAAAACATTAAAAAATCCTTTCAAAATCCAGAGGAAGGTTCAAGAGAAAATTGATATTAAACTTGTGCAAATTTTGGCCATTCTTCTAATACTGGTACTTCTAGTTTTGAATTTTTTCATTGAACAACATCAATAACATGTTTTAAATGGACTCAATGAACAACATGAAACATATACAGGGGCGCCGACTGCGTGGGTGCTGGGGTGCTCTAGCACCCACGAGCGTAAGCATCAAAACTAATCAGTTTAGCAGCTTTAAGATACTCGCATCTCATCCAGCCCAATTCCCAATTCCAGACGTCAATTTCAGTAGTTCTAAGGAAGTTTCCTCGTTCATTCTTATTCTTAGGTAGTTAAATCAATCCTGTTTTTCAACTGTTAAATCAGCAAGCAAATTAACATGGCAATACTTATTTCCTTTAAGTAACCGTTGTTTTTCTGCTTTTTTACTTATATAAACATAAGTATAAACGAATAAAATCCAAGACAGATGTGTATTTCGGGAGGCCATTTTTACTTAGAAAAAATGTGCCGAAGTGAGTCCGTAACTCAGTTCATTGTAGATAAAACTACTATAAAATTGCGTGTGTGCGCGACAGACTGTAATACAGGTTAAACTGTCCAGACTGGCCTGCAAAATAGATTTTTTTAATTTTTAGTTAAAAAATATAATATCTTAATATTACGGCAACTTAGATGTTTACAAAAAAGAAAACCCAGAAAAAAAAACAGTGGTTCTCAAAACATGGGCATAAAATACATATTTTTTTTTTATTTTTAGTAAGTAAAATAACTCGGTTTATTTTGGGGTTATTTGAATAACAATAATGACATGTGTTTCTTTTAGCGAGTTAAAGACTCTCCCTGTATATAAATTATAATTATTCTAAATTGGAAGCGAATTGTAAACTACATTAGGAATGTGTGTTCATATCCACGATAGCTCATTGTCAATCTATTTAGCTGGACAAGTATATGAAATCTGCTGTATGATGCGAAAGCTTGTTGTTTAAGATGATATCGTGTTTATTTTTGAGAATTTTTAGTCTTGACGGATAAATTTGTTTATATAAAAAACCCCTAAACTGTCCCCCTCCCAATCTCGGATATCCCTCCACTAGTAACTCTTCTCAGCAACTTTTAGCTTCGTTTATTTTGTATCTCTTTATAAAATACAGTTGTTACAGTATCTGTCTGTTGTTTTAATGCCTGCCCTTATACGATTGTAATGGGTAGAATTAATATTTTCACAAATTGGTATCTGTACTAAAAAATATTATTTCTGCATAACTCAAATTACTATACTCAATAAAATTGTAAAAATGACAAATTGATATGGTATTTTTCTAATATTGTTATGTATGTTACAAACAATGTAAAAAAGTGTAATGAATACGACAAATGTATGCATATTTAGTTAACCATTCAGTATATTTTGTCATTTGATTTTAATCCTCGGAATCTCAGACTACGTAGCGCTGATAAGTGGAGTTAACGGCAGAAATATTGTGGATTGAGTGGGGTCTCGGGACTGATCATACATATATCTTTAATTAAGTTGATTTAGGGATTGGTTATAATTGCCTACAGACGAAGATTAGATAATATTTCCTCAAATCTATATATAAAACACAAATGGCAGTGTTGAATCAGTTCTTCGTCGGGCATTTTAATACGGTGATTTAAGGGGAACTAGTGTTGAAAAAAAAGCACCAGTGTAAGTAGATTTTTTTCTTAATACCGGATAAAGAAATTTTGCAAAATCATTTTATGTGAAGATTTAGAAGATTTACGGGATTTAAATCAGAAAAAAGATTGTAAAAAACTAATAAGATTCGATAAAACATAATGTTCTCGTGATTTTTAATACTCGGGCTTAATGAATGAGTAAATTTAATTCAGAAATAAAGAAAAGGTCTACATATTTTCTAGCAGAAGAAAAGTAATATTTTTAATAAATCAATTTTTAAATTCTACTGGATTTGGGAATTCATCCTACCCATATAAATCAAAATGTTCAGATTTTGATGTTTTTTTTTTCAAGTTTCAATAATAATTGATTTTA